TTAACTCAAAATGTTCTCTAACTTGAGTAGTTTTGCAAATATTTTGGAAGTTTTTACAATCTGACTAAGAATTTTTATCTCTACAGGGTGTTTCAAAAATAATACTTATCAACGCAACTTATTAATTTGCCTTAATCCAAGTCCTTTAAAAATGTTAATGTCATTAACTAGCCAAAGTGTTAAATAAGTTCTCATTCATTCCTTATTGAAAACTAGGAAAAAAAGTTCCTATAAATATCATTTTTTTTTAAATTTACCGTATGGATTGCTGAATATCAGTGTTATAAATGTTAATAATAAATTTGATTAAATATACAGGGTGTTTCCAAAAACATGTACCATCTCTCGTGGGGAGATTCCTCGCGTAAAAATAAGATTTATTTTTCATATCAACATAGGTCCGATTCTGCTTTGTTTCGTAGGTACAGGGTGTTAAAATCTTAATAATCTTTCGATTTATTATAATTTTCTTTCGTACTTTTTTAAAAGTTACTATAAGTGCTACCTATTTTAATGCTAAAAAAGTGTCGATAAATTTATCAGGGACGTGCATATGGGTTATCAAAGGAATATTTTTCAAAAAAAAAACATGTGCGCCACTGAGTTTTTTCTTTTGATATCAAAATTGTGTAGGCCGTTTAATGCCAATTAAAAGCTGTCGGTCTCCTTGATGAGATAGACGCAATTTTATTAATCATCTATACTAATATATAAAATCCTTAAGTGACTGACATACTGATTAATCACGATCCTGCTCAAACCACTCAACGTAAGAAGCTCAATATTGGCATACAGGTTGATTCTAGGGTGTAGAGGTTCGATAAGAAGGGACTTTTCGAAATTCCAGTTCCAAGAGGGTGAAACCACCCCTCAAATATTACAATATTTTTTATTTAAAAAACGGTCAAGTTTCCGAAAAAACGCTTAAACACGTATATTTTATTTTGTTTTTTTACATATTTTAAGATTTTTTAAAAATGTATACAGAGCGTTTCGAAAAATCTGGTCATTGATTAATCACAATCCTACTTAAAGCGCCTGACGTAAAAAGCTGATATTTGGAAAACAGATTTACTTTAGAGAACTACAAACTTTTTGACTTACAAACGGATTGACTGTGGGGTGTAGAGGTTCGATAAGGAGGGGTTTCTCGAATCTCAAATTACAAGAGGGTGAAAACGCCCCTCAAATATTACAATATTTGTTATTTAAAAAACGGTTAGTCTCTCGGGAAAACGCTTGGACCAGCATAATTTATTTATTTTTTTTACATATTTTGAAATTTTTTAAAAAATCTTACAGGGTGTTCCAAAAAGTTAGGTAATTTCTTAACCACGATTGTGCTTAAACTGCTTGACGTAAAAAGCTTATTTTTGGCAAACGGATTTTTCGAAAGTCAAATTCCAACGAGATGAAACTACCCCTCAAATATTACCAAGTTATATAATAATATCGCCATATTGTTTTTTCTCATGCTGACATAAATGTGAGAAAATTTTATCCAGTTTGTATGTTAATGGAAATTCTTGCTTTGCTTTATCATCACCATTACAAATGATTAATTCGACGCGAACGAAGTCGCTGGTACACCCTAGTTGTGATTAATAAAATTGTATTTACCTCATCAAGGAGATCGAAATCGACAAAATATCAAGATACAACTTATAATCAACTTATATTAAATGGTCTATACAATTTTACTAACAAGAGAAAAAAGTCAGTGGCGTACATTTTTTTATTTTAATCCAAAACAATATTTAAATCAGATTTCCAAATGACTAGGACTTATTTCCAATTAAAGACCTATCCTAAATGGCTAAATCTATACCCCGATACCGATAACATTAACAATTCTACGGGGCGTTATGATTTTTCCACATCGGTCACCAATATATTCCGCAAAAAAAATCGTTCGCTTCAGATCAAAAGGATTTTTTTTTCAAACGTCTCAAAAGTATTAATCTTTGTCATTTTAACGCCTAGGCATAAAAGTAAAGCACTGTTACGCCTGAGCACAAAAGTACAAAAATATATTATTAAACTGATATTAATTGTCAAATTCAACGAGTGTACAAATTGTTGCTTGGTTACTGTTTATATTATTTGCAATGTTTGAAATTAATTAAAAAATTATTTGCAATTTTTAAAAAAATAGTATTTTCTATTCGGAGTAAAAATGTACTTTTTGTGCCTCACTGTAACGTCGGAATAGCTTTACGATGGTCCTTCAATGGTACAGCATCGTCAAAAAAGTATAATTTTTACTCCTAATAAAACAACACACTATTGTTCGGAAATAGTCTTAAGTCAAGAATAAAATTAGTACCCATGTATTATCTAATGTCAAAGTATAAAGTGCTTACTGCAGATCAAAATGTCGGTAGGAATTTGGAAACATACAACCGTTTCAAAAAATAAAATAAAACAATATATTTTCTGACAACGATTAAAGAGAATTTCGGGAATGAAGATATAGTCTCTATATTAGAACAATCAAGTTCTGCACTAGATTTTGCGAATGATATTTATTCGAACAGCGAATTTTTGTCAGTTATACATAAATTTTAAAATAAATCCCTGCGTTTAGCGGTATAATAGATTCACACGAAATTAGTTCAAAAATCGGTCCAACAATTACATTGATGAATAGATATTTTCATATAATTTTATAACATTTACAATTATTTTTCGATTTATTATCTGTTATATCTGTTATAGAAATATTTTTTATAGTTTTCTAGGACACACTTTTGTAACTTTTACAGTTATTTTTTTATTTATTATAAAGTTTCAATAAAGTTATTTTTTTGATTTAAATCACATGAATAAAATTAAAAAAAATCACTTGATTTAAATCATGCCAACCCTGCTGTCGACCCTTTTTTAGTACTAAACTATGTAGCACTTATAGTAACTTTTACCCTCAGAATTTCATTCGAATCGCTAAAAGAACTAGGAAGAAAATTGCCATAAATTGAAAAAAAAACGAAGACTTCAACCCCTGTAGCTACGAAACAAAGCAGAATCTCCCCACGAGAGATGGCACATGTTTTTGAAACACCCTGTAAATACCTCTTTAATTTGCAACGTGTACCTATACTCTACTCAAATCATAAATTAGCTCGATGCAAAACCAGAAAACGATCTTATTTAATGACAGATTTGGATGTTCCGTTCAAGAACTACCGACAAATTACGCACTTGCACACTTGACCTTACATTAAACACAGCCTTGAGCAGCGTTAAGACAGATCGCAGCATCTTGTCTCTTATATTTACATCCACTGGCAGTCATATTTTCTGTAAAAAGGGGTCAAAATCTTGAAATTAAAAGGGGTAGCTATGTGGGAGGGACTGACAGAAATAGAATTTCATCTCGAATTAGAATTTTTTTGCGATTAGTTTGGTTACAAAGTAGGGATGTGGAAATGTATCGATAAATTCTACTTAAATATCGATAATTTAAAAAAAATATGTATTGAGAGTCCATTTTACTAGTTCGAAATAGTAGAAAAATAAATGTTCGGCATTTAACGTTTTATGTAAAACTGGCTAGGTATTTTTACACAGATGAAGAAAGAAATTAAAGATAAAAGATTATACTATATCCGTATTGTAGCACATTTTTAGAAAACTTCTTTATTTTAAAGATTTTGATGGTCAAACATCAGCAAAATATTCCTTATGTTTGGGCTAAATTTTCTCGAAAATAAAGATATAATTTAATAATTCCGTTACAATACAGAAATAGATTGAAGTTTTGTGATTACAGCGATGACGCATTTTTTCTATATAGAACAGCTAACAACAAAAGAAAATAAGATCTAGTAATAGTAATATAGACATGTAGAGAACCATATACCTTGATTCATTTTGACCCAAAATATACAAGCAAAATGTAGATCATATCTTTCTAATACGAAATAGATTATCAAATTTAAGAAATCGATATATCAAAGTATTGATAATATCAAACATCTCTAGCATACTTGTAACGGATCATCTCCAATCAAAGGTATGTTGTTATTTTGCGAGATCAAAAAAGGCAACAACAATAAAAGCAACGTGATGATAGACAAAAAAAAAACTTGTTTAATGTGGATTAAATTTACTCTCAACAAAAACATCCTAGCAGGCTAGGAAGAGGTCAGCTCTGCCAAGGTCAAGGCTATAAGATGGTCGTTGAAGTTCTTCTATTTAAAGATAGATATCTGTGAAAAAAAATTCTATATGTATTGAAAAAAAAAATTAATAATATGAATTAGAATAAGAGACTAAAAAATAAACACTGAATGACTGAAAATACTCTCTGATTGCGAGGACAGGGTTGTGTACCCCATAAGTACATGTTTAACCGTGTCATCTTCTTGTCCACATCTCTTGAAAAGTGGTATAAATTTGTATTTTAAAATTTTTATTTTTGTACCCAAGATTACTAAAAAAAATACTACTAATGACATAGTTGTTAACTAATAAACTATAAATAACTGTTTTTGATTTAAACTACGCTCTGTATACGATTTCTTTATATCAAAAATGTCAACAAACACAAAACAACAACAATACATTCCATGTCTTCAAATAGCAGATAAGGATTATACTATATTGGATATTAATTGAAAATAACATTCATTATAACCATTTTATCAACAAAACTGTGTTATTTAAGAATAGATACCATGGTAAATATAAACTATAGCTTAAAGAATATCAATTTACAATATCCGCTAATAAAAAATAATTTATTATTTTTCTGTTACATATATTCTTTCCTCTAATAATTGTGTTATACATTTTTTCAAAATCACCAATCTCATGGTCGATATAAAATTGGTACCATTGTGTTCCATAATAGTGTTTTGATTGTAAATTTTACTCATTCATGTATGTTAGGAAGTCCAAAATATCGACATTTTAATCTCTTATATCGATAAAAAAAGAAATCGATATAACATGACCATCCCTAGCAACGAACTCAAGAAACAATTCAGTTTAAAACATTAAACACTCGTACGCACTAGTGTTTCCATCGTCAATCGAGGAGGAAATTAGAAAATTACATTCGGTCGTACTAATTTTATTAATGAAAGTAATCAGTAAATTAATAGACAAATCAAACGCAAAAGAAGCGGTACGACATATGAGATAACGGATGCGATAGTACCCGATATAAAGTAAGACCAAAACAAGATTATTTTTTATTTTATTTTTCGTATCCGTCCGAAAAAGTACGACCTATAAGGAGAAAATTTGGACTTAGTGTTTTGGTTAGTGTTTGTGTGGAGTTACTTGGTGTTTATGGAGTATTTGATTAGTGTGTACACGTGCTAAATTGGTGGTTCCTGTTTATATTAGTAAGATTTTTATTTAAATAAATATGTAAATGCCGGAAAATAATACCAAAATGATATTAAATAAATAAAACAGTATTTTATTATGAAATTAATACTATACAGGGTGGTCCGGAATGTATTCCGGAAACTTTGGCAGCATCTTCTGCAGATAAAAATAAGTAAAAAAGTTCGTATAAATGTATGTACTAAAATGCTTAGTTTCGGAGATACAGGGTGTAGAAGTTTCATTTTTATTTCGATTTTCTCCAAATAATTTCTGAAGGAACTCCAATATATGGATGAAAATAGGTGTCTGGGAGTTTTTTGACATGAGAAATTTGATTTTGATGTCAGTATGACTCCTACTTTTAGAGGGCGCCACCAACATATTTTTTAAATGGTCTAAAGTGTAATAACTTTTCGTGCGTATCTGTATAAAACTACTGAGTAAAGAAATATAAATTTACGACGTTTATTACGTACAAAAATGTCACTTGGTAAATATCAATACCTGTCATCATTGACATAAATTAAACGTGTTGACTAAATAGTTATTAGACTGAAATCATAAATTTGAAATATTTTTGTCAGCCATTTTAGGACATAATTTTATACGAACTTTTTTACTTATATTTCCGGACAACCCTTTATTTGTAATAACTATTTATTTTCTTTTTATCTGTAGTATTACAAAGAGGATCACCTACTGAAGTTTGGTGCATAAATTTTTTGTATAACTATTTGACATTTTTGTAACCCTGTATAAATATTTTGAAATATTATTGTCAAAATTTTACGCAAATTCTTAAAAATAAACGACCTTGACCATGGGAACCACTTTGTTTTTAACATTAAAAAACGAATTAATTAAATGATAATTAATTTCTTGTTGATATAACAATAATACCTGAAATTTGTATTGTACCAGTGTAAATTAAGGTATCTAAAAATATAAATTTGTAATAGATATATCGCTAATTTAAATTTGTTTAAAACGATTTTGAATATTTAAATAATGATATTTAAGCTGAAATATACGAAGATTATTGTTTAATTATACACTAATGATCTTTATCTTGTTGGAATATTTATTTCGTACTTACCAATTAACTAGTTATTAACAAATAAAAATGAGAAAAGCATTTTTTTGTTTTTTTTAGCAATATACCGGGTGTTAGGAATATACAGGTTGGCTCAAATTATATGACTATTGGTTATATAATTTTTTCCATAGCAACTGTTAAAATTGCCTTATATCTATCAAAAATAGTAGATAAAATAGTACTTTAACCAGAAGAGTAGATTAAATGAGGCTTTAACAGCGAGGATAGGTTAAAAACTTTATTTCTTCTCGCACGTTTTTTAATTGCTTCCATTTCTGAAAATTGTTGTACTCCTTTTCATAAGTTATTCGGGATTTAAATGGAAGTAGTTTGGATATGGCATTTGTCGCCTCAGCCTGAATATCTGTTGGTAATTTACTTATTTCGTTTTGAGCCATTTCTGGCTCCAATTCAATCAGCAATCGACACGAAAGAGAATTAAACAATATTGACTCAAAACTGACAACTAGAGAGACAGCTTTATTTATTTGTCAAATTACATAGAAACCAACGCCAACCCAGCACAATATTTTTTCTACTCGTACCTAATAAATTCCTTGAAATAATAATTTCTGAAAATGTTTTACTACGTAACTCGCTATGGAAAAAAATATTGTTTTATACAGGACAATAAAATTGCATTATCGACGATAAAATACCATTTTATCGTCTTGTATAAAAAATCAGCTATTGTTATTTCAGAGCTAGAAGATCTAGAACATTAAAAAAATGTTGGACATCATCACACTAATCATGGTAGCAATATCCCTCTTGCTTTTCGGCTACAGACCACCCTGGTGTACCAAAAAATTCATCGACTTCAAATTTAAAGAAGTCCACGACATACCAGGTCCACCAGCACTACCAATTCTAGGTACCAGCTGGTTGTTCCTAGTTGGAAGGTACCAAATCTCCAAACTGCACGAGTACTACAAGGAAATGAGGGATAAATATGGACCGATTGTTAAGGAAGAAGCTTTGTTTAATGTTCCTGTGCTTAGTGTGTATTCCAAGGCTGATTTGGAGAAGGTGTTTAAGAGTACTGGAAAGTACCCAATGAGGCCTCCTACTGAGGCGATTGCGAAGTATCGTCGTGATCATCCGGAGAGGTATGCTAGCGGAGGATTGATCAATGAACAAGGTAAGCAGTGAATGAATAATAAATCTTTAAGTAGATGTGAATCATTCAGAGTAAAATCATTCAGAATTCTATTGAAAATTCCACACCTGTAATTTTTAACCAATCAAAACGTGTTTTTTGACAAATCACCATGGCAACGGCTAAATTTTAGTGAAATTTTTTTCCTTGTGGGCACCCAACAGCGAATTATACTGGCAATTTTTTGACGTTTATAATGACAGAATATCTTTTTGAGAGTCTGGTTTTTATTTGTTTACATGATAATTTTGATACATTCCAATTACAAAGCTGAGATGCAAGTTTGTAAACTGCTTCCATACGCTTGACTTCTATTTCCTAGTACTCGCGGGTGTCGAGTGCTTAATCTCCTGGCGAATATTTTCTTTGTTTTCATGACCGAAGCGAAACATTTTTTTTAAGCCGTGCCGCTTGACAGCTTCACAACTGAAATAGTTTTTATGGTTTTTAAGTTTGGGTCATAGGTTTGGGTGTCACTTAGTTATCACAGTAACTAAATAATCAATTCCAAGAACAGTTAACCTAATAGGACTGCTCGTTCAGCCAAAAGTGTCCGCCAGGTGCATGCGAAAACTCCGCGCTCTGTGACGTTATTGTAGACCTTGTTATGGTTATTAGTCCTTATCCGGCAACCAATAATACATACACGTGCATTATTGGTTGCCGGATGCAAAAGGTTTATTATTTAGTTTATTTATTTAAACACCTTATATGTATGCAGTATAGAAAATGAACTGTATAAATCGTATTAAATACTCGGATAATGCATTTTTAAGAGCAGCAGTTCCCAGCATCACCTTTTGCAAGCATTCTTTTTAGAGTATTTCCATATTTTGCTTTAAAATAATTAATAAACAATATCGTAGGCACTTAGTAAGCACTTTGTCATAATCCACAACACAAAATGAACGTATTTATACACTATAGCTCTAAAAACGTTAAAAACACCTTTTTCACATTTAAAATTGACAAAATAATTAACTCAAAATTTCTCAGCTATTATTTTTATAAGTTTATCATAGGCAACTAATAATACATACTATCATGACAAGGACTACAATGACGTCACAAACTGTCAGCTGAAGCGCGGGAAGAGGCGAACGTACGTCTTATGAGGATGAGCAATCCTATTAGTTTACCGTTATTGAATCAATTCGACCAAAAATCGAAAAATACATTTTAATTATTTGATTTTCAAACACAATTTGGTGTGGAATTTTCTTACCGAATACCACACGAGGCCAAATTATATCCGGACATTTTTTCTCGCTCATGAATATTTTTAGAAAATTATAATTTTCAAAATATTCATGAGCTCGAAAAAATTTCCGGAAATAATTTGACCTCTAGTGGTATTACTAGTGAAAATCTATTGTGTTCCTCTCATCATACAGTCTCAGGGTTTGACAAAAGCCAGTATCTGAGATGGTTTTACAGAGGTTGGCTCTTCATCTTCGATATCAGACTTACCAAAGATTATGGCACGAGCTGTTTATTGAAGAGTCCTGTTAAAAAAAACCTTAACAATCATAAGACAGATACATACAGATAAAACTAATAAAGAAATATTAAAGAAATACAAATCTTTAGGTGAAAAATGGCACTACCTCAGAACTTCTCTAACCACAGCTTTGACCAGTCCAAAAACCATTCAAAACTTCCTACCGGAAGTGGAGGCCATAGCGGACGACTGGTGTCACCTTCTAGAAACTAAACGAGATCCAAATGGACGCATTTCGAACTTAGAAGAGTTAGCAGGGAAGTTGGGGTTGGAAGTCACCTGTACGCTAGTTCTAGGTTGGTATCAAAGGGTTTCTTATTGATATTAAGTTATTTTTCTGTATATAAGAAGTCAATTAATTCAGTTTTTTTTATTGCATATGGGTATTTCTATTTTTGTTTCTAATTTATTAAGAAATGCCAATCATTAACAGAGAAATTATGGAAATAAAATAAAAATTACTAAATGTAGGATTGTTTCCTATTACAATTTTCTATGGCATATTAAAATAAGCCTTTGTTATAATATAATGCCTTGTAATATAGAGCATAATTACCATGGACTTTATACATTTTATTGTGTTTTGCACTATTTATTTAATTTGCTAGCAATAATGCTGAAAATAATAACGAAGAAAAATATATAACATATGTTTCATTTACTAAGATTATCTTATAAAATTTTTACACACAAATACAATTTATAAATAAATGCAATTCATGAACAGTTAAGTTGTGGAAGTAAAAAAATATTACGATGGACTTAAACAGCCGTTAAACGGTAGCCTACTAAAATGCCGTTAATAGATATTGTGACGTCGTTCATGTCGGCGGAAAGTAATGCCTAGCCTTAGGCATTTTGCAAGAGCACCTGTGGGTCAGTGGCTGAGGCTATCGCTTCGTAAGCGAATGGTCCGTGGTTCAAATCTCAAGCCGACCAAGCTTTTTTATATATTTTTTTGCTTATAGCGTGATCTTATTGCATTGGTTTCACTCTTTTTGGTTGGATTGGTTTAGTTATTTGGCGGGTTGGTTAGCGTGGTTATTTGGAGGGTGTTAATTCATTGGTTAGTTGGTTATTTGGTGGGGTTGGTTGATTTTTACTAATTTATATTTGTTTTTTATATTTTTTATCAGTGTCGAGGTTAGTTGCGTTGGTTATTTCGTGGGGTGGATAGCGTTGGTTAGTCCTTATAAAATTCCTATATTTCATAAAGCCGTCAAGTGCGTCACATCAACGACATCATACCTATTAACGGAATTTTAGTAAGCTACCGTTTAACGGCAGTTTAAGTACAGCCAAAATATTAATATGAGTTAACAAGCCATCATAAGATATGAGAAATACCTACTATACTTATCAACATGAAAAACGAACAACTTATTTTTTTAAGTACTATTTTAAAGTTGTTTTTTGATTTGAATATGGCAGAGATAAATTTCTGAACTTATATCTGCTAGAGTACCTGCCAATAAACAATAATAATATGTCTTTTCAGTGACAGTCACATTATATAAACACTATTTTAGAGGTGTGTTAATTAGAACCAAAAGCAAAGGCATACTTTTAATTTTAAAATAACTGTGGCATTTTTTCTTCTTCAAAAACGAACCAGAAAACAAACTATGTTTAACCACCATTTCACAAGGTGTTCCAAACTTTTACCAAAATTACAACATTCTGTTGTAACAGCTTACTGTGTAATAGACAGATGGGGGCTTTAATCATCAATTTAAAAGGAGACTAAAAAGTCAAATACTTTAGCTAGAAATTGCTTTAAAAATCATCAAAATTGGTCAACTAGAACCAAGTATATTGAACTGTTTTTGGGCGTTTTACAAAAGTATACTTAAGGCCATCAAATTAAAACACTTTTACATACCAGGTAGACGAATGGGGTTCCTCATCGATGACCAAGTGTGTCCCACTGCCCAGAAGCTGTCAGACACTGTCAAGAGTAACTTTGCTGCGTGCAGGGACACATACTTTGGACTACCTTTTTGGAGATGGGTACCAACTAAGTCCTATAAAAGACTGTGCGATAGTGAGAAGGCTATTTATGAACTAGCCTCAGAACTGATCAGAACTGCGGATGAATCTACTAGAGAAAGTGCAGTATTTCAGGTAAAAAATTCAATAATATACTATGTTTCCATATTTAATGAGCTGTATTCATTAAAATATCCATTGAGAGTAATCAATGGGGTCAATAGTTGTAAGTTGCAATAAGAAAAATTGAGAGCAAAAAATTTACATTAATACAGGGTGTCCCCAAAAAAAGTTATACATCAAAGTTGTCTTTTTTAATAGAACACCCTATATATATATATATTAATTGATTTTCGGATTCTAGGAAAAAAATAAAGGTGAGTTTTATTAAAGAAGCATATACCTAAAATCTACGGATTTTGACATATTTCACATTTTGTGAAAACGAAGAGTAAATTTTAAATTTCGATAACAGCTACCTAAATTTTAGTTCACCTTGTATAGCCTGATATTTAATTACAGTAACCAATGTATGTATGTTAAACCAAATTCAAATTTGACCCGAAAAGTTATACAGGGTGAGACAAAATTAACATTACTCACTTATCAAAGCAAGTTACTCCTTTATTTTAAATGGAACACCCAGTATATTTTTCCGGTGTTCAATGGGGAATTTATATATCTTGAAATGACTTGATCAAATATCTTGACATAAAACACAACTTTAATATGTAACTTTTTTTGAGGATACCCTGTAGAACTCTCTATATTTTTAAAAAGTGCTCTGAATTAAACTACATACGCTCACAAAATTTAATTTCAATACAAACTGTCATTCTCCTTGGGGCCTCCGCGGCGAATGAGAGGCGCCACCCTGTACAAACTAGTATTTTTTATAGCAGAGAGTTTTAGTTATTGAGGAACTTGTAAATAAAAACCGTTTTATTTTTCCTGTTCCAGTCAGTACTGAAAGCTAACATAGACGAACGAGAAAAAAAGTCAGCAATAGTAGATTTCCTAGCTGCCGGAATACACACATTGAAAAACAGCTTACTGTTTCTACTCTATCAAGTAGCTCTATCTCCAGAATCCCAGGAGAAGATTATAACAGACGATACAAATACCTTCTCAAAGGTAACATATTCTTTGATTTTAATCTCATCTTAAAAGTAATTCCGTATAATCTTAAAAACAGTCTTTCAGGCATGTTCCATGGAGACGTTCCGTATATCACCGACAGCTCATTGTGTAGCTCGAATTACTGAGTGTGATTTGGAACTATCTGGGTACCATGTGCCAGCTGGAAGTGTGGTTCTGTGCCAGACAGCACTGGCTTGCAAGAACGATGATTATTTCAAAGAAGCCAAAAAGTTTAGGCCAGAAAGGTAAGCATCATATGTGATTTTGTCTCGTTACTCTTGTTCAAATAAAATACAATACGGTAAAAATACGGTGTTTCCATGCCAAAAGTTCAACAGAAACTGTTTTTCTCATCATTTTTTCGAAGAAAAATTTACGATTAACTTAAAAAAATAAAAAGACCACAAATTTATCATTTTAATCAAATAACTATCTACTCAACATGTTTATTTTTTGCCAATAATGACCATGTATTGATAATTTTCATTCTAAATATCTTGAGAACGGTTGCTCGTAGCAATTTTTACCAAGAGGCATTTTTTACGTAAAAAAACATGAAAATGTATATTTTTTCACTCGGTAGTTTTATACAGGTACGGACGAAAAGTTATTACTCTTCAAAACAGTTAAAGCACATGTAGGTGGCGTCCCCTACATATAGGAGTCATATAGACATCAGAATCAAATTTCTCATGTCAAAAAACTCCCAGACACCAATTTTCATCCAAATATTAACGTCACTTGAGAAATTATCTGGAAGCAATCGAAATAAAAATGAAACTTCTACACCCTGTAACTCCAAAACTAAGTATTTTAGGACATACATTTATACAAACTTTTTTTACTTATTTTCATCTGCAGAATATGCTGTCGAAGTTTCCGGAATACATTTCGGAACACCCTGTAGATTATCACCAAAGTTAAAGGTATTTAATAATAAAAAATATATATTTTCTAGGTGGTTAGATGATGAGAAAAATGAGACTGCGGCAAATGCCACATACTTGGTCACTCCCTTCGGCTACGGAAGAAGGATATGTCCAGGGAAACGCTACATAGAGCAAATCCTACCAATATTCCTCGAAAAAGTTGTAAAAAAGTTCAAAATTCACGTAGACGAACCTATGGAAGAGGAGTTCGAGTTTTTGTTGTCGCCCAAGGGCAATGTTTCTATGTATTTTAACAACAGACTGTAAATTTTATGTATTATATTTGTTCCCAAATGACTATAAATATAGTTTGAAGTAAATAAGCATATAAAGCTTACATAAGCAAGAATTTTGAAAAAGATCCACTTCAATTGTTGGGTAGTTATAAAGTTTTAATTTAATTTAAAATTTTATTTATGTAAATATGTTTTTATTTTAGTGATAAGATTGTTTATTATATATTATTAAATTTAATAAAACTATTTCTATTTTTATGTGGCTGTTGTAATTATTTTATACTGAGTGACAAAAAAAGAACACCTATACAGAGTTATTCATCTCATTCGACACAAAGTATTGTAGCCAAACTAGGACTACTAAAGCTACAATTTAAAATTATTTTCAAAAGGTACAGAGTGTCCTAAATAAATAAAAAATATCAAAGTTGTATTTTTTAAATAGAACACCCCGTATATTATTACATTTTTATTTTCTACGATTAAAATAAAGGTAAATTTAATTAAGGTTTACCGCACTTTAATCTTACCGTTTTTGAAATATTTACGATTTTATGAAAGTACTGTAACAAAATTTTAATGCTTCATTTCTCTAGGCCTATTTAAGTTTTTAAAACCAAATATTGTACTGAAGTTCTATTTCCCAAATTTTATGTTGCAATAATAAAAATAATACTACCTTATACAGTATCTAAAAATTTATTTTAAGTAATTACTAGCTTTAAACTGAAATAACATGTTTAATTTAAATGGAACACCCTGTATATTTTACGAGAGTCAGATGCACAATTTAATTGCACAAATAGCAACATCGCAAAATGGTGGGCGTCGAATTTGAATTGCCATGTATAGTTCTCCATTTCGATTAGGCTAATAAATGTGTGCAGTGCTGACACTACGCAAATAAAGCCCTAATGCTTCCATAATGGGACATTTTCAGTGAGTTTTAGATTTACCGCTCGCTATTGTGTTGGCAACGCGGTTGCAGTGGTGCCACGTTTGTTTGACATTTGTCAGAACTTTCTGAACGTGATAAGTTGTGTCTCATGTTTATCGTGTCTTTTAAAGCTTTTAAAACTTTTATCTAGCAAGTTAGTCTTTTAAAACCTTTACCTTTGAGTTACAATCTTCTTTAAAACCATAAAAAACTGTTTTAAACAATAAAACAGCATGTTTTGTTTAAAAAATACTTTTTCTTCAGCACTGCCTGAAACTATTTAAAACTGTTAAGAATTTAAAGTATATTTTATAATTTTTAATACATCTATATTGTAAATTTTTCAAAAATATTTCTCCATCACAATCTGGCAACAATGCTATCTAAAATGTACGCACGGTTCTTAATTTGAATCCCCTGTATTTGAAAGTCTCTCTATTCAAAATTATTGACACATAGTCAAAAGTTAGACATCACAAGTTGACACATCACATATAAAAATTAACTTTTATTTGTTATTATTAAACATTTTTGCACCTACTGTATAAATGTTTTAAAGAAAAATACGTAGGTAACAGAATAATTTAAAAAAAAACGATGTAAGAGTAAATAAAACAACAACAATAATTTAATTGTTGAATATTTTTATTCATTTACAGAATAATAAACACATCTGAATTCTTTTAATCTTAAAAAATAAAAAAGACCTTATTATATAGTTTTACTATCTCATTTTTTAACATTTAAAAATAACGTAAATAAAAAATAATAATTAACCGATTAAAAATATATACAGGGGGGTCCGTTTTTTATGTTCTAGTACCCTAATTTATCGTTCAAAGAAGTCCTGCCATCTCCAGACTGATCATTCGGCGGTACCCACATACAATAGTCTTCTTTCCTGGAATCCTCCTCGTAACCTCTTTGTTTCTTAGCCTCCTCCTCACGCTTCCTCCTCTCTTCTTTTCTCTTTAGCTTTTCCCTGGTTCGCGGAGGTTCCAGTTCCGAACTAGTTCCCGCTCTCGGTTCTTCGTCGAGTTCCTTTCGCGGAAGTTCAGCTGGTTCTCGTTCTAAACTAGTTCCAGGTCTCGGTTTTTCATCGGAGAAATCGCTGACTTCCGGTGGTTCTGATTCTGAACTGGTTCCCGGTTTAGGTTCTTCGTGGTTCAAATTGCTGAGTTCCTTTCGGGAAAGTTCAGGTAGTTCTGTTTCTAAACTGGTTCCGGGTTGCGGTTCCTCATCGCACAAATTGCACTGTTCCTCGGGTGTTCTGTTTCGGAACTCTTTAATAGCTTTTCCTATTGTTTGGGAGATGGTTTTGAGAACGTCGCCCATTTTTCGCACCTTTCTTACCACCTGTAAATAAGAAAAAAAGAAAAAAATAGTTCAAACGTACCGACTACAAATTTTCTTTAATCTGTTTTATTTTTTATTTATACTGATTTTTTTTTATTAACTAACAAAAAAGCGACGCAAGAAATATTCGAAAAACTTCTTTTATCTCTTTTTGTACATCCAATGGATTTTCCAAAGGGTTCTTTGACGTCTTTTTTTTCGATAATACAGAAGATCTTGTGTTTTTGAGTAAAATATTTTTATGCCTCTCTTAGGGCATGGTCTAGAGGCACTTAATTATTTTACTTAGTTCTTTTAACTATTTTTAGTGATTTTAACTATCAATGACGTGATTTTTCACTACTAGAAATAAAATCATAAAACTTCATCATCTTTAAACTTTCTTTATACATCTAATGACTTTTTTAATGGTTTCTTTGTCGCCTTTTTTTTCGATTATATGGCACATGTCTTGTGTTTTGTAAATCATCTCTCACAAAATGGTCTAAAGAAACTTAATTTTTTTAAATTATTTTTCTATTTATTTTGATATTATTTTTAGCGATTTTAACTATCAAAAAGTAACGCAATTTTTCATTACTATTCTACTTAAAATTACTTTTTTATACATCCAATGGATTTTTCAAAGGCTTCTTTAACGCTTTGTTTTTTTTTCGATATTATGGTACATGTCTTGTGTTTTGTCAATGATGTGAATGCCTCTCTCACAAAAAAGGTCTAAACAAACTTATTTTTTAAATTATTTTTAGTATATACCGGGTGCGTCTCAAAAGTGGCTCACACCTATAACTTTTTAATTTTTTCAGATAAAAAAACGAGATTTGGTTGGGAAAAGTTATAGACATTTCCGGTGAAACAGGAAGTGAACAATAACAACTGAATACGTCAATCAATCCTAATTTATGTCATATATACTAACATATCAAATCTCGTTTTTATATCTGAGAAAATAATTAAATTATAGGGGTAAGTCACTTTTGAGGCGCACCTGGTATATACCAATAAAAAAAGTGACGTAATTTTTCACTACTAGAAAAAAAACTTCATCACCTTTAATCTTTCTTTATCCATCCAAGGGATTTTCCAAGGTTCCTTTGACACCTTTTTTGCGATTATATGATACACGTCTTCAAAATGGTCTAAAGATACTTAATTTTTTTATTTACCTTTTTAATTATTTTTTATTTTATCTTTGTTTTTTTATTTTAGTTTTTTTACCTTGAACTTTTCCTCGGTCATGTTGTCCAGTTCGTCCATGATCCTCTTTAGTTCAACGGAAACTTTCTTTTTTAAAGTTTTATTATCCGTAGATTGGCGAAAATCGGACACTAATTTCAATACTTTACGTTTTTTCGCGGACAAACTTCTCCAATCCGCTTGAAGCCGGTCTTCGTTCGAGGCCAGACGTCTGAGTTTCTTTAAAATTTTCTCTAAAGGCTCTCTGAACACGTCTGGAAAAAGAAATAAAAAAATAAAAACGTAAATAAAAAAAAATTAAAAAAATTGTTTTACTCGCTGATGGTGGTAAGCCTGTTCTCATAAGAGTCTCGAATTTTTCGAAAGCCATAGTGTCGTGAAAAGACCGCATAAATGTCACTTCCAACAATTCAGGATCGTATCTACTTGAATGATTAATTTCTAAGACTGATTCTGGCTCAGAAGCTTCGCTTTCTGAGTTATTTGCGTCATTATTCTAGAAAAATAGATAAATAAATGATTGATTTGCTTCAGAGGCGAATTTACAAAATACAAGATACCATATAGTCGGGAAAAAAAGCGTCGAAGAAACCTTAGGAAAAGCAGTAAAAAATTACGTTAATTTTTTGATAATTAAGATCGCTATAAAAAATAACAAAAATTTAAAAAAGGTAAATAAAAGAATTAAATACCTTTATACCATTTTGTGAGAGACACACTCAAATAATCTACAAAACAGAAAAGACCAATGTACCATTATAATCCGAAAAAAAGGCGTCAAAGAACCCTTTGGAAAATCCAGTGAATATATAAAGAGGGATTAATGATAAAGTACTATGATTTTTTTCTAGTAGTAAAAAATTACCCCACTTTTTTGACAGTTAAAATCCCTATAAATAATAAGAAAATAAATAAAAATAGTTAAAAACAGTATAAATAGAACAATTAAGTATGGTAAGACCATTTTGTGAGAGAGGCATTCAAATAATTTACAAAACATAAGACAAATTTACCATATAATCGAAAAAAAAGGCGTCAATGAAACCATTGGGAAATCCCTTGGATGTAAATATCATTATACATCCAATGGATCACAAAATAATAAAAAAAAATAGTTAAAAAGAAAACACACCACAATACACCAAAACACTTTTACTTTTACACTGGACGCGCGTTTCGCTAACCATGTTAGCATCATCAGCAGATGATTATAAACTCAAAGTTGCAGATGATTATAAACTATAAGGTTAGTTTATAATCATCTGCTGATGATGCTAATATGGTTAGTGAAACGCGCGTCCAGTGTAAAAGTAAAAGTGTTTTGGTGTATTGTGGTGATTTAGTGTTTTTATTTTGCCATTCAAATAATTTAAAAAAGAGGCTAGAGAGCTAGACAAATACCATATACTAGAATAAAAAGGCGTCAAAGAAACCTTTGAGAAATTCATTAGATGTATGAAGAAAAATAAAAGATAAAATTTTATGATTTTATTTTCTAGCAGTGAAAAATTACGTCACTTTTTTGATGCTTAAAATCACTATAAATAATAAAAAATAAGTAAAAGCACAGTTAAAAAACTAAGAAGTAAAATCACTAACAAAATACAAACTAAAAAGTTAAAGAAGAATAAATAAAAATAAGTATATTTAGAGAGACATTCAAATAATTTGCAAAAGAGACTAGAGAGCTAGAAAAATGTACCACATAATAGAATAAAAAGGTGTAATGATTTTTTTTTCTAGCAGTGAAAAATTACGTCACTTTTTTGATACTTAAAATCGCCATAAATAATAAAATATAAGTAAAAACACAGTTAAAAAACAAGTAAAATCACTAAAAAAAATAAAAAAAAACAAAAAAGTAAAAAAAGAGTAAATAAAAAATAAGTATATTTAAAGAATTCAAATAACTTACCAAATTATTATCATCAACTGTTTCTTCTTCTTCTCTATTGTTAACAGGAACTTCAGGTACTTCTTCAATTTTTCTAATTTCTTCACTTTTATCAGTCTCTTCTTCGTGTTCAGACTCGCACCGTTCAACTGAATTATCATCAGCAGTCACAGCAACAGTTTCTTTAACCTCCTCAATAACTTTTTGAGTTGGTTTCATATGAAAACCTTTCCTTTTACCGATAAAAGGTAGTTTTGAAGGAACTTTGCTTGTGCTTGGCTGGGGATTGGACTGCGGCACCAATGACGGCAAAGTAGCAGGTTTAGCCACTCCAATTAACCTAATAAAATGAATATAACATCATAAAAAACATATACATGATGTTTACTTTTTAAGAAAAAGGAAATAATTAAGTTAAGAATTTTCAAAACACCCTGTAACTAAAAATTTACAATTTTTAGCTAGAGGTTGTTCTGAAAAGTCCTAATTTTAATTTTTAATCTTTTTTATTAATTTTCTTTCTTATTATTGTGTCTTCATATTTCTTATATTACTTTTTTTTATTCATTTTTTTTACATTACTTTGTCTAAGATTATTACGCAAACAAATTCTAATTAAATGAAGTTATTAGCACGTCAACTTTTATTTTCAAAATTTTTCAAAAACTGGGAAAAATGTTTGCCAAAAAAACTTGCCTCTTAACATTTTCCAGATCTTTCTTGAACTTAACCAAATCAAGCTTCAATTTCGATACCAAGTGTTTATCTATTTTCTCCTCTTGTAATCCTTTCATGTATGAGTCCAAAGAGTCTTCACCTTCGTTAGAATTCTCATTTTTCTGAGTTTTTTTCACCTGAGACGCTCCAAGACGCTTCTCAATTTCGGAAATCGAATCTGTAAGGGATTTTTCTTTTTCCAGCTGTAAAAAACAGGTACATTTAAAAAAATTAAGAATTAAAAAATATGAAAATTAAAAAAATATAAAAAAATTAAAGAAAAAAAGATTATATGAAAAAAAAATTAAGAAGTAAAAATTAAAGAAAATAAAATTTAAGAAAAATCAAAGAAAAGAGATCCATTTAACATCGAATTTGTAAGGGATTTTTCTTTTCCAGCTGTAAAAATAAAGTTCGTTCATAGAAAAAAAAGAAAAATAAAAAAGTATTTAATGGTTCATTTGACCTACCAGGGACTCGTATGTTTCCGCTTTTTCTGGTTCTTTAGCCTTCATTCGTTTTTCGCGTTTCTTCTCTACCGTGCCAGTTCTGTCCAAGAATGTATCTTCATCGCTGTCATAAAAGTCATTTTCTTCCCAATTTCTTGCTTTCCTTTTCCTAGATTCTACATAAAAAACGAAAAGTTTCTTAGAGAATTTGTCAATAAAAAAATAATGTAAAAATAAACAAATAAATAATAAAAATAAATAAAAATCTGAAGATTCCTTTCACTCACCATGAGTCGCTTGTCTCAATACCCCAAACCTGTCCAATATTCTGCACGCTTCCAAGGCACACTGTTCTACAGTTTCCTTTTTTTTGCCACGGTGTAGAACCTCCGCTACGATCGGTTTGCCCAGTTCATCGTCCACTGGTAGAACTACTTTACAAAGGAACTGGCCCATACCTTAAAAAAATAGAGAAAATGTAACATAATGGCAAATGAAACAACATGTATACAGCAAGTATTTTTAAATTTGGAATTTTTGAAAAATGTTTTGTAAATTTTTTTAATTTTTGAATTAAAAGCCATAATTTTTTGATAATATGGCAATATAGGTAGTAGATTAAATTTACAAGAAAGAAACCTAAAAAATATTCAGTGGTACTCAAAATTTAAGCATAAAATCATTTAATTTTCAAAGTAACATTACTCGGTTATTTTAGAGTTATTTGAAAAACGGTAAAGAGAAAATATGTTTTTTTATCGAGATCTATCAGCCCTGAGAATATTAAGACTCACCCTGTATAACACTTACAGTTTTAGCCTCGAAGAAAATAATAATAAACGAGAAAAAAAGAAGAATTTTAATCCACTTTAGCTACGAAACAAACCAGAATCGACCTATGTTGATATGAAAAATAAATGTTATTTTTACATGGGCAAATACTCTGTATATTACCTTGCTCTGTACAGTCGTACTCTAAATCAAGCCCCTCCCGCTCAAAGAATCCTCTCAAAGCTTTTTTAGGATCGTCCAAATACAAATCTTCGTTGTTTGTTTGGGCGTACGGATTCTCCGATAAATCCTCGTTTTCATCAGCGTCATCCCCTAAACCCCAATCCACGCCTCTCTCTTCTTCTTTCCTCTTCCTTTCTTCCCTCTCTAGCTCTTCTTTTCTTAGTTTCTCCTCTCTTTCTGCTATTTTCTGAGCTTTTAATTGTTTCAGTTCTGTGACAGAGAGCTCTGATTCCTCTTCTTCGTCGTCTTCTGGGCCTGTTAAAATATAGGATCTTTGGCTGCAGCCCAGTCTGATCATATGACCCACCTGAGTGAAGAAACGTCTTATTATACAGAGTGTAAACAGAGAATGCTTCAGAAATTTTTATTCTTGATACTTTATGCAGAATAAAGAACTACAATTGACAAAATTTACTGTACCAGACAAATTTACATAAAATATATACAGGGTTATTCACCTCATGTAGCCACACGATTAGATTTTTAGGAATTCTGAGTGATGGGACCATTTGAGGACTGTCGATATAATTTGCTTATTTCATTAAAAAATAAAAAAAACTTTAAATATTTGTAAAAGAGGACCAATTAATATGATCCCAGTATTAGCACTACATTAATTGACTGTTTGCGTTGATTAATAATTGCCTCCAAATACTAAAAAAAACTGAATTTTGAATGTGTATTAGACAGTGTGGTAAAAACCTTATAAATTTTATTTTATTTTTTGAAGAATGCTTATTTTAAACAGAGACGTTCACATTCATAACTTATTATTATATTGATTTCTGATTCAAATCCACATTTATTTAGAATAATTTATTAACTAAGTCCATTTAAATATATAAATACACTTCCCCAATAAATTAACGCACCACAAAAAAATAACCAAAAGTTTAAGTTAAGTTTTTGTCAAAACCACTTATCCGATTTGGACGATTTTTTTTTGAATGATAGGTTATTCTTTCCACAATGTTGCTGTACTAACTGTATTTTGATAGGAACCCTTTTTATACTAATATCGGGTGTAGCAATTATAACGTGTTTTTTTAATAAAATTTGTGACACCCTGTAGAGTTGATCAGTTACAGTATCAAGTTAAAATTGAAATCACATTTTAGCCTTATCTTTTTTTTACATTTTGTTTTTTTATTTACTCCCTTATCTTCCTTATTACACGAGAAACAACATTTTATAGGATGACATGATTTAATATTGGTTTTAATTAACATTTTTCCATTTTACTCACTAAAGTAAGTAGCAGCTGGAGCTACCGAAGAATTGGTGAACGACTTAATGTAACTCACTCAACCATTTCACGAGTTATACAACGGTATAGAGATACTGGGAGTGATTGTCGCAGGCCGGGACAAGGCAGGAATCGAAGAACCAATCCGATTCAGGAACGTTTTTTAAAACTCTCAACATTAAGACAACGTTTCGTAACAGATAGGACCCTTCAAACTTCAAACTCAGCTCAAAGATACTAATGGTATACAAGTTTGCACAGAAACTAGCATCTCTATTTGTCATTTACTGGTAATCCGTGTTTTTCCATAGCCTGCTACTTACTTTAGTGAGTAAAATGGAAAAATGTTAATTAAAACCAATATTAAATCATGTCATCCTATAAAATGTTGTTTCTCGTCTAATAAGGAAGATAATGGAGTAAATAAAAAAATAAAATGTAAAAAAAAGATAAGGCTAAAATGTGATTTCAATTTTAACTTGATACTGTAACTGATCAACTCTACAGGGTGTCACAAATTTTATTAAAAAAACACGTTATAATTGCTACACCCGGTATTAGTATAAAAAGGGTTCCTATCAAAATACAGTTAGTATAGCAACATTGTGGAAAGAATAACCTATCATTCAAAAAAAAATCGTGTGATTTTGACAAAAATTTAACTTAAGCTTTTTGTTATTTAATTATTAATTAAGTGTAATTAATATTTAAGCGGAAATAATGGCGGTATACTTAACTGATATACGCTTTTACAAAGATTTAAATAGCTTTTTTTGTAAACAAATACGCTAGCAATATTATCGTTTTTAACACCTGTACATTTTGTACATTTGTTGCTTTAAAAACAAATCTAAAATGTCAATATTCCATGGGTATATTGAAAAATGAGGTCTAAATTATAAGAAAATGCATTTTCTACAAAAACTTGGAGAGATAAGTAAAAAATGGTATAATACAATTTGACAGACAATTAAATCGTGCATCATAGATAAAAGAAAATAATCTTCTATTAAGATGCATCTGATTCATGTAAAATGTACAGGGTGTTCCGTTTAAATTAAAGAAGTTATTACCGTTTAAAGGTAGTAATTATTTAAATTGAATTTTTAGACACTCTGTACAAGGTAGTATAATTTTTACTATTGCAACACAAAATTTAGTAAATAGAAAAACTTCAGCACAATATTTGGGTTTAAAAACTTAAATTACTATTAAATTAACTAAATACGCCTAGAAAAATAAAGCTTTGAAATTGTCATTGCATTTTCACAAAATCGTGAATATTTGAAAAACGGTAAGATTAAAGTGCGGTAAACCTTAATTAAATTTACCTTTATTTTAATCATAGAAACTAAAAATGTAATAATATACAGGGTATTCCATTTATAAAAAAAACAACTTTGATATTTTTTATTTATCTGGGGCACTCAATCCAAAAAAAAATATTTTTTAAATTGTAGCTCTAATAGTCAACGAACCCAAAACTTAGAATAATAATAACCCTGTATATAAACAAACCAGACGTAAACAGAAAATAAGTATTCTCACAAGTCACATTCCTGTATATAATTGCCTAACATACTTAAATAAAAACATATAAAATCAAGTTGTTAGCTTTTTTTAATCAAGTTTGGAATAAAAATATCCAAATATTTTGAATACACCTCTTGATACATGATACCAAGACAACCATGTCCAGGTATTGAGCAAACAATACGTGTCTAAAAAATTTATCTGTCACACATGAAAGCTAGAAAATGGAATCGAAAAAGCAATTTAAAGAGGAAAGCAACAATCTAATAAAAATTAACAATGAAGACAGATCTTCCATCTCTAATTTCGAAGACCAGTTTGATTTCAACACACAAACCGAGAATCTATTGAAAGAAAACGTCGGTAACAAGGCCTTTGAGAATATCAAAAATATCTTTGAAAAAACTCAGACTATTAAAAAAGTTGCTGACATTAAACACCAAGAAATACAGACACAGTTCAAGGAACTCAGGGAGAGGTAAAAAATTATTTAAATATATTTTAAAAAATCAAAAATAAACAAAAAATAATTTTTCAGATTAAGCCAAAGCTCTGAATGTCTTCAACGAATGAAAAACGGAATTGAAAACATAAAATTCTCCTACCAATCGAAAATCTACGATATGCAACAATCCCTAACACCAGGCGACTTTTTTGATCCCGAAAAAAACCCTCTGCAGACAAAGGAAGACATGGCAAGACACATGGAAGAAATCAAGGACAAAATCGAGAAAATTCAAAAGCAAATCAGTGCACACAAAGAAAAACAAGAAAAAGTTACCAAGAGTTACGTGGAGGCTTTCGAAAATGTGTCTCAAACTTTAAATTGTATAGATAACGGAACATATAGCTCATGTAATGTTGAAAATGTAAATAAAGAATAGTAATTTCGTTTCTATACAGTACTTACCCGAATAGGGACATATATTTTTGGTTTTAATTTGTTCTTCCCGTTCATAAATGTACCGTGGGTACTTCCCAAATCATACAAGTAAAACCCTGCTGGCTCTGTCTCTGTCTGCATGCTTCTATACTGAAGTACTGCATGATATCTGGAAGAAAAACAACAACTATAATGCATCATTACATAAATAATATATTTACCTAGATATAGTAGGATGCTGCATATAAATATCACAGGTAGTTAGTCTCCCAAAAACCCAATACGGCTTCTTCATTAAGTCAATTCTTTCTATTATAGTGCCATTCTTAAGGACTTCAAAAACATATGGCTTTTCATATTTATCAGGTAACCCAGACCATGCAGGTTCTTTATAAGGTAAGGGCAATGTATTTTCGGCAACTTGTTGAGCTGGAGACTTCTCATCTGCATTATAACATCAGAGAAAGTTTATATAATATAAAAAAGTATATATATTTAAAATTTAGTTTGTTTATAAACATTTACCTTTATGATTACTACTTAAACTATTGCTTGTAGTTTTCTCTACACTATTTTCTTCGATATTAACAGTTGCTTCTGTTTGTTTTACTGATAATTCACTTAATTCACTTTCAATCGTCTTGTTAGATGGTAAGGATTGTAATTTTCTAGGAAATCGACCGATTTTACCAATCAACAACGTGGGTTTTTTAAAAGGCTGCTCTTCCACTGTTGTTTCTTCCTTCTTAACATTTTCCCCGTCTTCTGGTTCCATAATTATTTATATTAAAGTCGAAGATAAACCATAAAACAGCGAGAAAATTATTTTTTGATTTCAGATCTCAGTGACAAAAAAATGTTATAAACGTCAAATTTGACAGTTAACCAACCGGCTTCTGGAAATACAGAAAACTAACCAAACTAAAGCTTCAGGGAACAATCTCATGGTGGATAGATGGCACCACATGACATATTATTATTGATCTGTCAGAATTGACACGATATTAATGACAGTTCAATTTTCCTCCTCGAGTCGCCATCTTATTTCTACAGAAGACGCACCTTTTTAGTTTACACTAAACGTTTTATTATTAATTTTCCAGTTCTTAAACGGCTTTCAAGATGATGACCAGTTTCCAACAACAGCAGTACCAACTAGCCATCGCGAATCCGTCAGGAATTCAGCCCCAGATGCAAGCTATGATTCCACCACCACCCAACTTGGTAAGGATCTTTATTTCTGTTCTAATTCTTTGTAATATCTCGGTTTTATGTAAATTTTAGCCTCCACCTCCTGAACCTGAGGAGGAGCCCGAACCGTACATTGAACCTCCAGCTCCAGGCACAGAAGAACCACCAGCAAAGTCACCACGACTTATCGGTAAGTACCAATTTTTATCCGAAAAACTAGGAATATTATTGAAATGAAAAAAGTAGAGCTATGCGGGACGCCCAATAACTAATTTCGAATCTGTCTGCTTGAGATGTTCCAGAAAGGAGAGTCGTTCAGCCCCTCGTGTGCAGCAGTATGCCCTCAGAGTGTGTCTCTCGTAAAGGTTGAGCGAGATGCTCACTTGCATGGTAGGAAAGAGCGAGAACAACCAGTAATTTTTGATAGATTTTATTTTTTGTTTCTTTTAATTGATGATTGAATGTTTTAAAAACAGAAATGCTCGATTTAGACAGTTCTCCAGCTTGTTTTTCTATGGAAATTTTAATTTTTAACTATCAGTTTGGACTAAAAGTATATGGGCTTTTTATTTTTAATATACCGGGTGGTGTATCTTTGTTGGAAACAGGAAATCCCATGCAAATTTTTTAGTCTAAATATTGGCTATTAATTTTACAGCTAAGTCGTAAAGAGGTTTTTTAAAGGGCTAAAATCGGCTTGTCCAAAATTGTTCAAATTTGGCATGTGAATTCAGCATAGGCAGACCTTTAAAAAACCTTTTAATAACTTAGCTGTAAAATTAATAGGGGAGCCAATATTTGGACAGTTCAGGATTTGCATGGGATTTTCTGTTTCCAAAGATTTGATGTTACATGTAAGAAAATTATATTGGAATTGATTTTTTCAAATAAAAGCCATCTACTTTTTGTCTTAATCTTCATAAACCCGGGGTCACAAAAATCTATAAATACCAAATGGGGTACAAATGCACCCCAACAGTTTTCTTATTGAAATTTGTTTTTAAATGTTTTTTTTTGCGAAGGTATATCATTAAATAAACAAAATTAAATAATAATATGTTGATTCTAAGAAATAATATATTGTCCATAGGATTTTTTTTGAAGAGGTGAATCCGCTACGGAGGTATAGACATTTTTTACAAAAGTTATTGTTATCATTTAAATCTAAAATTTTACTTATCTTTACATTTTTAGTTTTAATCTTGGTATTAATTCTCAACTACTCTACAGTATGTCCCCGGATTGTCTTTACAAAATTTATATATACAGGGTGTTTCAAAACAAATGCGAAAAACTTTAGGGGGTGATTCCTTGTTCAAAATAAAGGGTAGTTTGCTTTATAAATGTTGGGTCAAAAGTCAACCATTAGGGAGATATCGCGGTACAAAGATGGCGAAAAAATAATGTTTTTATTTTTTATCTTGAAAACAAAAAGAGATAGACTAATGAAATTTTATGGAAGCATTACTGTTATGAAAACACACTTTCTGGTAATTTTTTCACTTTTTTAAAATGAGTGGAAGGGGTTGAAATAAACTACCCCTATCATTCTTGTTAACGAAATTTAAAGAAAAATCTTATCAAACACATGCAAATGCTTTAATTTGGATAGTTTAGTTTGTTTAGAAACTTTTTTATCTCTTGTGTTTTTTTGATAAAACTCATCGATTTGAAATTAAAAAATAAAATGTAAAGAATTACATGTCAGGACAAAAAACATTTTTAGATTAAGAATCTAGTGATAATAACGATAATAATAATCATCTAGATAATAACGTATTGCAGTAGAGTAATGTCAACTAAAATAATATTAGGAACATCCTAAAAAGTAACAGCGGCCGACTAGATTTTTTCCTAAAAAAATTACAGCAGCCCACTAGATTCTTTATCAGAAAATGTTTTTTGTTCTGACATGTAATGCTTTACATTTTATTTTTTAATTTCAAATCGGTGACTTTTATCAAAAAAATACAAGAGATAAAAAAGGTTCTAAACAAACTAAACTATCCAAATTAATTTTTTGCATGTGTTTGATAAGATTTTTCTTTCAATTTCGTTAACAAGAATGATAGGGGTAGTTTATTTCAACCTCTTCCACCCATTTTAAAAAAGTGAAAAAATTACCAGAAAGTGTGTTTTCATAACAGTAACGCTTCCATAAAATTTTATTAGTCTATCTCTTTTCGTTTTCAAGATAAAAAATAAAAACATATTTTTCCGCCATCTTTGTACCGCGATATCTCCCTAATGGTTGACTTGTGACCCAACGTTTATGAAGCAAACTACCCTTTATTTTGAACAAGGAATCACCCCCTGAAGTTTTTCGCATTTGTTTTGAAACACCCTGTATATACACAAAATATATACAATAAAACTGTGGATATCTTATAATTTTAATGCTTATTATTCTAGCATTGGTTTCTGTCGGGATTGTCGATGTCAAGACACGGAAAATCCTCGCCGTTTGATCAGGTTGGGGTATATTTTTACCCCAGTTGGTACCGTTGGGGTACACATGTACCCCAAAGCAACACATTCGTTGTAACTTGTTCCAATAAGAAGCCATTTATTGTAACTTCTACATACTGCATTAGAAGTATGTTTATGGAAGGAAATTCAGAGAATATCACAAAAAATGTCTGGGGTACGTTTGTACCCCGCCCGCGTTTATGAAGGTTAAACGATCAAACGACAAAAAGCATTCAATCAGCAATCGTTTTAAGTAAACAAGAGATGAAAATAATAGCAGTAAAGAACTACTAAGTGTCTGAAATTTAGAGAGAGGACCGAAAACGTTGTTACGTTGTTGTCTTAGACATATCTATTTTCTTTTTTGTGCTTCCAGATTTGCAAAATAGGTGCGTGCTACTAGTTCGTAACACGAGCTTGTCGTTCCTTTACTAGAAGCGCGCCAAATGGCCAAACCAACCAGGGGCGGAAACTGCGAACTCCACCGAACCTAATGTACATAAAACGATTTTTTATTTTAATGCTTACTTTTATAATATATACACGTTTGTAGTGCTGATGCCAAAATTTCTCAAAATGTCATATTTTTTTTAATTTGTTTGTGTTACATAGGGGAGTTTTTTTAATAATTGCATTGCAATATCTACAAGGTTCTTTATTAATTCTGAAGTAACGTCAATATTTGGATGAAAATTGGTGTTTGGGAGTTTCTTGATATGAGAAATTTCATTTTGATGTCAGTATGACTCCTATTTGTAGCGGGCGACACCTACATGTGTTTTAATCTTTGAATAAGAAGACTAAGGAAGGAGCATATCAAAAATCTTAGGTCCACCGCGATAGGACGCAAATATGGCCGACTTAAATTCCGGTTTATCAGTGCCGTTCTAATTTAATTTAAAAAATCTAAAACTATGATGTAGGGTAGACGTGGGGTAGACTCAATATTTTTTTATCCAAAAAAATCCTTTATGGGTTTTTCGCCACTGCACTGCAAGAAAAATCTACAAAATAAAATAGTTATTTTTGGTAAACACTTCTGCGTTAAACCTAAACGGACGCTGCTTGTCAGAAGTTGTGTTTACAGTTATAAAAATTTGCCTAACAAAGAGAAAAATGCTTAACGTTTCGGAAAGTTTTCTCTTTCCGTCGTCGGAAGCAAAAAAATATAAAGAAACAAGAAAAAAAACTATTTAAAATATTTAAATTGAACTATTCGAGAACACTTTGCTTTTTAAAACAGATACGTCTACAAGAAATCGTTGACGTTCTCTTAAAATGACATTATATTAAGTTAAACTTCAAAATTAACAATTACTACTTGATAACAATTACTTAATAAGGTAAAACCAAAAAGCCCAAACCTTCTGTATGATTATTTTTAAATTTTACATATGTTATGTTTATTTATGTTATGTTCTTTAAAATCAAAGAAGCGATTGCCATACATTACTAACATCTACAGATGCTTAACCAATACATTTATTTTTATTAGATGTATTAAAAAAGGTTCTTTTTATTTTTCTTTTTAGAGGCTATCGCTTCTTTCATTATAATTTTGGCGTTATTAAAATTTATTCTGTGCCCTGTGTCCCATGAATGCTGACAAATCTTAGATTTGTGAAAATCTCCCTTTCTTAAATAATCTTTATGTTCTTTAATTCTAACATTTAAGGGTCTAGATGTTTCACCAATGTAAAATTTATCGCATTCACAGGCTATTTGGTATATTACATTTTTTGTTTGTTGTTCTGTATTCATTAGTTTAGTATGATAGTATGTATGTATTTTTAACTGTAAACACAACTTCGGACAAGCAGCGTCCGTTTAGGTTTAACGCAGAAGTGTTTACCAAAAATAACTATTTTATTTTGTAGATTTTTCTTGCAGTGCAGTGGCGAAAAACCCATAAAGGATTTTTTTGGATAGATGAATCCGCCACATAGGTATAGACATTTTTTAATATTTTTTTTATTTTACGTTGTGAATAAATGTTGGTAGTTATTAAAATTGTTATAAAAATATATAATTCTAATAAAAATAGATAAGTTATAATCTATAAGTATTTATTAACACAAACATTCGATACGCTACTGAAGCAGGTAAGTCAAATTAACGTATCTAAATTCTTTGACATCTAATCTTTGACAAGTAATAAATAAAAACTAAAATGCAAGAAAAATATATAATTTAGTTAATTTAAGTGAATTTCATAAATGATCGGTTTACTACACATATGTATATTATATAGTCACTTACTAGCGAAAAGTTTTTCCATTATTTCACTCAATTTTTGCCGAGATCTACCGCACGCTACAAAACCAACTATTTTAGAGTCTTTTTCGATAAATCGCGATAGTGTCATTGTTAATTTTTACGTTCTGTCACAATTTCCATCTAGATTTACTACCTTATACAACTATCAGTAGTAGAATAAATAATAAATAACATAAAATAAGCTCCGTAAAGACTGACAAGTCCACAAAATTTCAAATCAGATTCAAATGTGTCAAATGAATCGTCAAACAGAACTGTCAATGATCCCCACCCTAGAGTGCTTTTTCCGACCACCATGCATGAATACATGGATAGCATTATGCTCCTTCCTTAGTCTTCTTATTCAAAGGGTCCCACCACATCAAAAGAGCCGACGGTTTCTGTCGCTACTCGGCGAGCGATCTCTATCCCTACCGTGCCCTTGTTAACACCACGGTAAATCTTATTTAGATGCAAGGAGAATTTCACGTTTAGTTGTTGGTATTAATCTGTGTTCAGACACCTTGCCAAATTATTAGGCATCATTTACCAAACAGACCTTCCAAAATCTTTGGGAGATCTATTGTAAGTGACGCCTTACACATATTTTTATTATAAAGGTTGGTGGTGTACTTTGTACTTAATTGGGCAGAAGCTTTCTACCTTTATGTTATTTTGCGACGCATGAGTAAATCGCAAAATCCCCGCTGGGTTCCCTTACTACTATATTTCCAAATAAGAAATTCTGTAAGAAAATTTTAAAAGATTATCAAGATATTCCTTTGTAGCAATTTAAAAAAAATTTCCCCTGTAGAAATATAATAGTATATTTATCTCAAAACGGGAGATTTTGGCATGCTCAGCACTACTTTAATGTATATTACTACGTGATATCTATTTTATTTTCTATAATTGAAGGAAATTTTGAAGTTACATGAGACAATGGCAATCGAACAAAACAAATTATGGAAAATAATTTCATTTGTGAACTTTTTATGTTTTTTCTTTCTGTATTTTTAGACTGCCGGGGTAGTGTTGCCTGGAACTGTATATATTTTTAGTAGACAGAGTCTTAAAATCCTGGAATACCAGATGGACAACCTCCTAATCATCAGAAACGTTTTAGTTACATTAAAAAAATGCGAAGGATATAAAAAAATATTTTCAACGCGTTATAACAAATTTATTTTGATCAGGGTTTGAATATTTCTTTTTAAATGATATTCAAATCATTTATTGCTGCTTTAATAAGTGTTTAAATATTTAATATAACGATTATAACTTTTTTTTGTCAATTATTAAGGTAACAATAATGGATTTGTTTGTTTTTAAAAATAACTTACGTAAACAGTTTTACCAAATACTACAAAAAATAACTTTTCGAAATAAAAATAAATGTTTTGTAGGATCCTACTAAATTATATTAATAATATTTACAATTTAACACCTAAAATAGGTTTAAAGTGTGACAAAATTTGTATAGGATAAACAGTGGATTTTTTTTAAATTAGAGGGTGTTCCATTTAAAATAAGTTTATTTATTCTTCAGGATTAATAAACTTATTTTAAATGAACACCTTATTAATAAATAGCATTTAGTGTGGGATCTCCAATACATATTTTTATTTTGTTTATTTTGTTGCCCCCCCAAAATTTATAAAACGCATACATTATTGTGATTCAAAAAGAAATTATGGTTTGTTTTCAAATATTAATACAAAATACGATGCTATTTAGATTGAAGAGTGCAGAAAATTCAGAGAAGCTAAGTCATATACAGTAAAATATATAATTTTTGATTATTTTATGAAACAATAGAGAGCCCAGTGGACATTTTTTCCAGTTTTCACAATAATATACATGTTCGGTAAATCTAAAAAAACAAATGTTCGTTTGGATAGATTTTGAAGTAATAAGGATTTATATTGATTTTTATAGCTTATTAATATTTACTGATTTAGATAATTCATATAATTTCTTGAATCATAATTGTATGTCATTATACAGGATGTTGCTAGAGTGGTTACAGTCGCGAAATTATTCAACTAAATCATTTTTAGGTAGAAAAAAGTTTGTTTTATGCCTTTTATGATGCCTTTTTTTATTATAGGGTGTAATTTTAAGATCCCCGTATTTTGCGTCAAGTTACATAAAGCTACAGAGCGATATTTTTTGGTTGTAGATTAAAATAATCAAGAAAATGAACATATTTAATGTTTGTTAAAATTACAATACACTTACGATTACATTTTAGAGACATCCTGTATAATTTTTGCGAACCCTGATAACTTCTATTAACCCTGAATTAGAATGTAAAAAAAATCGATATTATTGTTTATCCTAGACTTCAAATAGAATGTATTGAAAAAGTAACAATAGTTAAAAGAATTTTTTTCCAAAAAAAAATAAAAATAAGCCAGTTTTGTTAAGGTAATTTAATATGTAATAATAACCAAATTTTATTGTTACTTTTTCAAAAAATAATTTTTGATTTTGGTGACGATGTGATTTTAAACTGGTTGCTTTGTTTTAGATGATGGAATCGATTATGTGTATGACTTGCAACAGACTGACGAAGTTGTTACAGGTAAGTAAATATTATACTGTTAATATTCTAGATACATTATCACTAAAATTGAATATTTAATAAGTAAGATATGTTTTATGTACAGGGTGGCCCATCGAAAACGTTCCGCAAGGCATAACGGCCAGGGTATTTTTTTTTTTCAGAAAATTCAAAAACACGTCAATTTTGTTTGTGAGGGGGACAACATTTGCCCCAAAAATGATTGCAAAATATTCAACCCTTTAAGCGGGGGTGTCATCCCCCAACTTTTTTCAAATGGGAAGGGAGGTCAAGTGGTACCGCAATGAAAAGGGCTTTTTATTCTCTATACTTTCCCGCTTCGTTTTTGAAAATCGGTCGAGTCATTGAGAAAATATGAAGGATTGAAATTAGAAAAGTTTATTTAAACATTTATCAGAGTAAATGATAAGGATAAATTCCTTCGACCAATTTGCAGTTTTTTTCTTATTATTTCTAGATGTTTACGCATTTTTTCACTTGCCACAAGGTTGGACGATCAGGTGCGGCAGTTGCTAGATAGCTGTTCTGTGACTTGTGCGTTGAAGTTCTTCTCAATATCGTTAAACTTTTTAACAATTATGGTGTACTCACTTGCAGAAAAAGTGGAAATAATCGAACTTTATTTTAAAAATAATGAATGTAGCAATCGGGTTCCGCAGATATTCAAAGAATGCCATCCTAAAAAACACCTTTATGGCAAAATTGTTCGCGAGTTAGTAGCAAAATTTCTCGAAACTGGTTCCGTTATGAATAAAAAGAGGCAGAGGGAAAACCCTGTAGTAAATGAAGCTATGGAGGTATTCGTATTGGGCCAAGTTGCCATGGATAGTACCGTAAAATGGGGTGAATAGAAACATAGGGGTGAATAGAAACAAAATTTCTGAAAAAAATCAAATCACGATTAAAAATATTCAAAGTAAAAAGAGTCGACATATCTAATTTTTCTATCATTGGTAATACACAATAAAGCCGGAGTCTCATGCATCCGAAATCCGATGACACGACGATCCGACGGTGCTCCTATTGGTCGAAATATTTTGACAACAATTTTTATCCGATAATTTTAACTAATCATCCGACGTCGTATAAAGTTAAATTTTGTTTAACTTTTGTACGATATCGTGTGTTTTTAACCTCACTTTTTTGAAAACATTTGTTTTTAAAAACAAGTTTAGTGGGAAGTGGGCAATTTCGAGATATTTCAGCCGAAATATCATAAACAACTCCATTCAAATCTAAAACGGCAAAAATTAAAATGGCGCCCGACCTTGCCAGAGGCCTCGGGAGTTGACACATGGCTGACACACAGACAAAGAAGAGGACGCCGACGTGCATAAAAATGTTCCGTAACTGAAATTGACAGAAATCATATAGAAATATTCAGATTTTTGTCTAGGACAGTCTAGAAGGCCATGCTTTCTGCCTGGGTAAGACCGCGCCAGAACTGTTTCCAATTTTCCGGTTTACTGTCACCCCCCTGGTCGTACCATCGGATTTCGGATGCATGAGACTCCGGCTTAAAATGTAAAAACTATATTTTTATCTGTGGCAGCACTGTTTCTGTCAATCAGCTGATCAATAAATGTGAGATCGATTTATCACCTATTTTGTATGGCGCGAAAACTTTATAAATAAAATATTTATTTTTAAAGTAATACTTAAGCTGGTACATGTAAGTTGTTATATTATATGTATTGTTAATTATTGCTAAACCTACTTAAATATGTAATAATTATCTGTTTCTAATCACCTTGTTGGAAATAGAATAGATAAAAACCTTAACGTCAATGTGTGTTTCTATTCTCCCGAATAGCAGGTGAATAGAAACACAAAAGTTATTTTTATTTAATATTTATATGCATATTTTTCAAAAATCAAATTATATGTATACGCAAAGAACAAACAAAGACCCGTGTTTTAAAATATTCGGGAACATAATACCACATTTTTATCAAACTGTTTCTATTCACCCCATTTTACGGTAAGCTGAGTACAACAAAATTAGCCAATGCAAAATTAGCCGGCGTGAATCGTACCGGTGTCCAAAGGATATTAAAAAAACACAAGTTCCACCCGTACAAAATTCAGTTGGTACAAGAACTCAAAGAAGACGATTTTGATCGTCGCTTGCAATTTTGTGAAACTGAGTGAACGAGTGGCGAATGATAATAATTTCCTATTTAATTTGTGTTTTTTGGATGAGTGTACTTTCTTTTTGAACGGTGTAGTTAATCGGCATAACTGTCGGTACTGGGTTGAGGGTTTCTTCACGAGATGCACACACAAAACCCTCAGAAATTGAACGTGTGGGCTGGTATTTTTGGAAATTCTATTTTGGGTCAGTTTAACGAGAAAGGGTCAGTTTATTGAGAAGAACTTCAACGCACAAGTCACAGAACAGCTATCTAGCAACTGGCGCACCTGATCGTTCAACCTTGTGGCAAGTGAAAAAATGCGTAAACATCTAGAAATAATAAGAAAAAACAGCAAATTGGTCGAAGGAATTTATCCTTATCATTTACTCTGATAAATGTTTAAATAAACTTTTCAAATTTCAATCCTTCATATTTTCTCAATGACTCGACCGATTTTCAAAAACGAAGCGGGAAAGTATAGAGAATAAAAAGCCCTTTTCATTGCGGTACCACTTGACCCCCCTTCTCATTTGAAAAAAGTTGGGGAATGACACCCCCGCTTAGAGGGTTGAAGATTTTGTAATCATTTTTGGGGCAAAAGTTCCCCCCTCACAAACAAAATTGACGTGTTTTTGGATTTTTTGAAAAAAAATATATCCTGGCCGTTATGCCTTGCTGAACGTATTCGGTGGGCCACCCTGTATATTACTTTACAATTAAAAAAAGTAAATATAAAAAGTATGTTAAAATATATACAGGCATTAATTGAAATTTTTAGTATGCGCACAAACACGGGAGGCGCTTTATTTACTTTCATTTTCTTAACATGGCAGATGAAGTTCTAAAGGGGGATGTTTTGTGCTTGCGATTAAAAATACTTGTGATTAAAAAAATATCATCTTTTAACTGACTAGGGAACGTCACAAATACATTAGAATATCAAATGTATTCTTCCAAGGCTGCTTGATTCATAATTAGTGGTTTTAACATAGCTATGGCACTCTAGATTGAAATTTAAAATACCATTTTTTTAAGCGAAAATGTCAAAAGTTGACATGTCATTCTACTCAGAATGTCATTTACTATCAAATAAAGTAAAAATATACCGAGGGTACCATTTAAAAATCTAAACTTATTGTAATTTCCGGTCAATCTCGTTTATCTATCTGAAAAAAATAAAAAAGTTATAGGGGTGAGACGCTTTTAACAAACACCCGGTAGTTACCAGGGTCCTTTAGACTGCACGTTACCACAAACGGTTGCGTTAAAACAAATCTGTGTTAAGTATATTGTGAGTCTAACATGCCTAAAATGATTTGCGCAGGTCCTGGAGCGATTAGCAATTCGATCGCGGGGATTTTGGGCGGGGCTCTTCCGAAACTATCTTCAGACCAAACAGAATCCGTGGCTAAAGCTAAGAAATACGCCATGGAACAGAGCGTTAGAATGGTTTTGATGAAGCAAACCATCGCCTATCAGCAACAGGTAATGTCTCCAAAAATGTTTTATATTATTATTATTTATATTAATTGGTACATTTTTTTTTCAGAAAAACAAGACCTTCCAAAGGCACCAAGTGCTGGTTTTGATGTGCAGGTAAGTCTCCACTTTTATTATTAACACTTTTTTTATATATTATACTAGTGATGTAAATATTTACTAAAAGTGAGTTGTCGAGGACTCATTGTTCTCCGACGATGAATTTTTGCTGATAAGATCTGACTTTTCCTTATTTTTTGTTGTTATTTCTATCATTTTTCGAATTCTTTTTCTAGAATTTTTAAAATATATTTTTCATCAATTTTTTTCAGAGTCTACGTTGGATCGATCAGCTTCGAGCTCAAGGAGGACACGATCCGGCAATCGTTCCTGCCCTTCGGCCCCATCAAGTCCATCAACATGTCCTGGGATCCCGTCACACAAAAGCATAAAGGTAAGATAATTACAAAGTCTAAAAAAATTCTTAGACCATAAAACAACTAGACACTTTTTTACTTCGGAATTTTGTCGCCATCATAATGAGATTATCTGACGTCACTACAGGGCAAATAGAATACAATTTATGTATATTCCAGCTGTGTTTGACTGTTAAAAGGTTCTATTTATTTTGATAATAGTATATTGTTTTATTAGGAGTAAAAATGATAATGTTTGTGGTTGTACGTTTGGCGTTACAAGCGAGGCACAAAAAGTACATTGTATTTCGATGATAATTTTATAAATATTCTTTTTAAACCACAGAATAACTTTCTATCAAACGGTATTGAAATATATTTTGACGTATCTTTCTCCACTTAAAAAGTCGAGTTTGCAGAAAGCGCAAATTTAAACCTACGTTTCCTAATTATTTTGTCAACTAATGAAGGGGAATATCCCTTACACTCAGCTACATTCTTAACGTAATTTCTTTCTATTTCATATCTTTTGTTAGTTAGTAGAAAACTACCCATCTTATGTTCAACGCTATTATAAAACTCATTAGGAATATATCTGTGCGTAGTGGTCTTTTTTTTATAGATATCAAATTCCAGGCAATTATTAGTATTTCTAATAGCTAATATATCTAGATGTGTTAAATTTCGGTTGGTTTTGTTGCAGGTTTCGCTTTTGTGGAGTACGAAATCCCAGAGGCGGCGCAACTGGCGCTCGAACAGATGAACGGGGTGATGATCGGAGGGCGGAACATCAAGGTAAATGTTCGTGTTCAGTTTTTTATTACTATTTTTTATTAGTCGTTTAGGTTCTAAGTTGACCCGTCCCTACGTCACACACCCACCATTTTGATTTTTTTTTTTGATCCAGACGCGTCAGCTTGGTAAACGATTTTTTTAGGTTAGGGAACCCGCTGTGGAATTGCCTAATTTTTTAGGTAGATATTTTTATGTTTTTCTTTCTTACTTTCAGTTTTTTTATTTATTTTTAAATTTGTTTTATTAATTTCTTGTTATATTGGTTTGGGCAGTTTTGCAGATTACAGAGTTTATATTTGATTGAAATATAATCTTAAATTTTCTGTTTCTAAAATTTATTTTTAATTGGTTTTAAGTATTTTTTTTTGGCTAAAACATTGATTAAAAAGGAAAATATAAACTCTGGTACATTTATTTTTTTTAATATTTATTTTAAATTAGGAATTATTTTATTTAAATTCTAAAATATATTTTTATTAAAATTTTAAGATGAATTATAGGAGCTGAATATATATACCATATTATAACTGATACAGTTATGATTTTACAGAAATATTTTGAATAAGTAAAGAGTTTTTTGTCAAAAGGGTTACTCGGGCAATAAAAAGAATCATTTTTTTTTCAGACATTAGAAAATAATAGTTGATTTTTTTCCTAATACTAAATATAAAAAGACGTTTCTATGGTAATATAGTTTCAATTTCGTTCTTTGATAGATTATTTTTGATAGAGTTTTAATTAACGTTATATTTTTTGCTCTTTTAAAACTTTAAAGAAGCACAACATTAATTTGCAACGCAATATTTCTTTTTCACAAATAAAAATATCCGACGACATAAAATCACTGACTAAAACTTCAGCGGCTGACAACGAAAACTGAAAATTATAACAGCACTTTTTGTTTTGAACGTGCGTATCAAAATTACGCGTTACCATTATGTTTTTGTTTTTGAAATAATATAAAATATAATAGAATTGACTAATTATAACTTGTCAATTTTGATATTTTAACTATCTCTGACAATAACTAACTTTTTGTTATCAAATGACATTTTATACGGCAACTGATTATATGCCATAATATTTTAATTTTAAATATGTATGTAATATAATTTAAATTAATATAGTGAAACTTTGTACTAAGAAAACATGTATACATTCACAAAATACAACAAAATCTAATAATATAGTTCGAAAACAATGAAAATTGAATTAAAATTAAAAAAAGTTAAGCGCGACCCCTTGTGTCAAAATTAGATGATTCAATTTTCGCAATTTTTACATCGTTTGATGAACGGTGGCGCCTCTAGTGTATGTTCTCGCGGTTAGTCTTTTACTCCAGTTTATGGCCATTAAAGAAAAAGTTCTAAAGGGGGATGTTTTGTGTGTAATACCACAGATTATAAACTTTGTTTTTTCTTTATTGAATCGGGTAGTACTAGTTAGGTTACTAGTTTGCGCAAATAGCACGCCCACTTATGGCCTCTAAAATTGTGCACAGCGCCTGACCGGCACAGTTATTAGAGATATATCGGAAATCCGAATAGCGTCATGCAGTATTTACGCGTGGTACCTTATCATGGTTACGATATGCGCGAGTCAATTTTTAACGCAACACCCGCTAATAACGTTACCGCCTGACGTAATTTGCGGATCAATTACACCAAGCGCTATTGCTAAATAACGTTTAAAAATTGCTTAAATGGGCATGTGCGGGTATTTGACAACCGGGGCCGGCCGGCGAGATCTTTTATTTTAGGTTATGTTTGAATTGTTTTGAATTATTACTTTAGTTTTATTAGGTAATTTGATATTTAAGTAGCTGGAATTAGTTTTAATTAAACAAATATGGCCCAAAATATGGATTTTACCTCTCCCAATATTAAAGAACCTATAAAGAGGTTTAGGTTTACAGCAGATGACGACTTAGCCCTTCTAAGAGAATTTGTTGCTTGTTGTCCTAAACCCACTGGCAGACGTTGAACAATATAGCACTGGAAATTAGCACTTTAGCCCTTTAGTTTTAAAATGCCTAGTAAACAAAACAATTTCAAAGTTTTAAGTTCAAAGTTAGGTTAAGTTTAATTAGCGGACGCGACGCGAACATAATTCTTTCCGATCCGATAACTATAAATGAAGAGAGTTAATAGCAAGTTAATACCACCTCACGTAAAGGAAATAACACCTGGCCTTATTAACGTCCATGCACGCTATTCGGTTTAGCGATATCTCTCTATTACGCTGTTTATTGTTATTTTACGCGAGTTTATTTTTGCGCCCAGGAAATTTTACTCGTTTGCACATCGTCATAAAAAACAATTTTCGTACCACGAATTAGGGACAAGATTTTTATCTGTATACTTATAGGATACCTAATATGTGGTAATACTTTAACAACAGCAACAATATGACGTTAATTAAAATTAATAATAACCATCTATCAAAGAGTGAAATCGAAATTATATTACCATAGAAACGCGTTTTAACTTTTAGGAGTTTTTTTTCAAGGTTTTTTTTTAATTTTCCCTAAAACGGTATCGAAATTTTGAAGAATGCATTTTTCTCAAAATGTCAACAACAAAAAAGTTTTCCCTCTTGTAAAGATAATCCGGGGACATACTGTATACTGATTATAGTACTTCAGTATTTAATTAAATTATATTTTTTTTACGCCAAACTTTTTTTAATTATAGATTTTTTCAATTATGCATAACTCAGATTTCAGCTTTTCAAATTCAGTTTGACAGCACCACAGTTGTTTATTTGCCAGTTAGAATCTTGGAGTCTTTGCTTTGTTTACATTTTTGCGTCACCTTACCTATTTTTTGTAAAAAATCTGTGCGATGAAACGTATAAGTGCATAATTAGTAAAATTTTCAACAAAAATGAAACCATAACCTTTCACAAGTTAGTATTCTGGACAGTATAGTTAGTCTGGATCACAAATTACGATATCGTGTCATTTAGCTTGTGCATTTAGTGCCTAAATACTTCAGACGAAAATGGAAACGTTGTTTTTATTTCTCAGATATTTTTGTACTATTCTGACACTTTAAAACACTTTTTCACTTTAAGAAATACACTGGATACTTAAAAAAACATTGTTTGGTGATATTTATTTTAAATTCAAAGCAAATAAAGTGCGCAATGCTACAAAAGCTGTAATTCAGTGATTCTTTTTCTCTTGCCTCTGCGGAAACCCTTTTGGCCTTAGGTTAGGTACAAGTCGATGTTCAAATATTACCATATTCACGTCAACAATTATCAAATGAACCGTCTAAAATCCTGTTCTATTTATTTACAACCGTAGTTAGAGTTTTTTAAATTTTTAATCAAACTACTAACCCTTTGACGTGAGTATGGTCCGCTAATTTCGGGTTTCTTTCTGTTGCAGGTCGTGGGCAGGCCTAGTAACATGCCTCAGGCGCAGGCCGTCATTGACGAGATACAGGAAGAGGCCAAGCAGTACAACCGAATATACGTGGCGTCGATCCACCCTGATCTCAGCGAGGTTGATATAAAAAGGTAAGTTAAGAAGGTTTTTTGAGCTACCCTGTATGTCTATATTGACATCATGTTTAACATGATTGCGTGTTTATATTGTTACGTTTTTACTGGTTTCTGTGTGGATAATTTAAAGTCCTATTTATTTAACAGAATTTATTTTCAACAACATGAAAGAAACTATATAAGAGCTTGAACACACTGACGACCAGGTCGCACCGGCCAGGCCGCTACTACCTCTAACACCATTAAATCAAATGATTGGCCGTCCGTTGGTCGTTGCGACCAGTAGACTACACTAAAATATTATTTTCTGCCGCTTGTTGCCGGTTTTCTTCCAAATTAATAATTTTTCAGATGAAATCTATCAAATGCAACGCACAGTATTTTATTTTCTATAAGATATAGTGTTTTAGTGCAGTTTTTGCACACGTGCAGAAAATCCAAAGAAATATTATACAGACTGGATCACAGGGAAACTTAAATCTAGTCCCTTTTTTATCAAGGGTCGATTCTAGTAAAAATTCAAAACATTTTTATGACATACTCTATTTATGGTTGGTATGATACCTGTTATTATAACTTCGAGTTTCGATGTTAAAAAAATAAAAAAAAATCATATTTAAAGTTTTTCTGCAACCGCTTGTTTTTTTTTGTTAAATTAATTTTTTTAGTTGTAATGTAGTCATGTACAAGGAGGATAACTGTATTTTAAATATTATATTTAATTTAACGTTTTTCAACCAGTGTCAAAAATTTAAGAGTAAAAGTAACTTAAACATTCATAAAAATAGAAGTATTTACTGTTGTAGATTCTCAGTAACAACAAAAAAGAGGAATTTATATTGTAAACATTGAAATAATTGGAAGCTAAACTTTCTACCTGCTTATATTTAGAGCCAGTGTCTGACGACCTTTTTTTTACGACGGCCCTAATATGTTTACTTCTAAAGTCGATAAGAGCCATCAGTAGAAGTCCATATCAGTAGAAAAAAGAAACAGAATATCTCCCTTTTTGTCGGTCGCGCGTACACAATGCTTTTTGTTCGTGCGCGCTCGGTTCGTTCGGGCTAAAATGCTCAAGTCTGGACGCACCTTTAGGAACAATACTGTTTTTGTCCTTTATTGATATAATGCTGAAAATCTCACGAGTTACATGTCTCGCTCTACACATATTAAATTACATAGACGTAGGATGTAGAATATTCTGTTATGAAACGACTGATGGAATAGCAGGCATCGCGGATTTGAAAAACATGGAAATAACGACGTTATCGTGTAGTCGGGGTTGGAGATTTTACTTGCTCCATTTACCACACCAGTATTTATTAACGAAAAATCCATGAATATCTAAATGCATTATTTAATATTAGAACATTTAATAAGCTCATTAATAGCAACTTCGCTTTTTAGTTAACTCGAATATTTTAACATTTCTGAAACTTAATTCTTTCTCAAACAATATTTTCTAATTGGTAAAACGTAAAAAATCGTTAGATCTGATAACTCTGTTGAAACTGGTCGTTCATCTGACCGCAGCTATAAACGCAATGCATCCGGCCGTTGCGACCTGGTCGTCAGTGAGTTCGAGCTCTAATACCAGAAAATAATTATTATATTAGATTACCTCATCATTTACACAGATATGTTTATTTTAAAACTTCTGTTTTACAGTGTTTTCGAGGCATTTGGCCCCATCGTTTACTGTAAAATAGCGCAAGGTCCAACAGGAAACAAGCACAAAGGCTATGGCTTTATTGAGTATGAAAGCGCTCAAGCAGCCAATGAAGCTATAGCCAGTATGAACCTGTTCGATTTGGGCGGACAATATTTAAGGTAAAAAATCGACAAATATATTTTTATTATCTAGATTCATATCTACTTTCGTTTACAGGGTTGGGAGAGCTATAACTCCTCCCAACGCGCTCCTAGGACCGTCGACAGGATCAAACGCTCTGCCTACAGCCGCCGCAGTAGCAGCTGCGGCTGCTACAGCAAAGATACAGGCTATGGACGCTGTAGCTAGTAACGTAGCTGCGTTAGGTAAGTCTTTTTAAAAGTTCATTTGATTTTTTAATTTATTTTTTAATGTTTTACAGGCTTATCCAAGCTAGCACAACCGGCCACTACGTTACCACTAATACCTCCTAGTCCGGGCGTTGTCACGCCCTCTCCAGGCTTTGCTCCGCCTACATTAGCTAATATCGGGGCACCGGGCGTGGCCATACCCACGGTAGCGCCCGTTGTACCGCCCATAGGCTTGGCGATACCGCAGAAAGTAGGGAATAATATACAGCCGGCTATAGTGCAGCCTATAGCCACGGTTCCTGCGTCTATACCGATACCGCCGGTGTCTAATCAAACGACGGGTAAGTTTACTATGACACTATTTTTTTTTTCGATGTTATGGAAAATATTTTTTTGTAATTTCAGTGAGCCATCAACAAGAAGCTATGAAGAGAGCTGCAGAGGCTCAACTTAAGCAACAAGAGGAGTTACAGAAGAAATTGTTGGATCATAGTGAGCCACAGACGTTGCAGCAACAAGAAAATATGTCAATCAAGGTAAGGAACTTATTATAATAATTACCGTCGCTTCTGTAAGACTATGGTATTTTGTGATTTTATTATAAAATATATTTGAATCACCCTGTATACCAACGAAAATATTTTTATAGGCTGATTTATTGAAAAATTGATCAATAAATTATTTATTGCAGGGACAGAACGCTCGACATTTTGTGATGCAAAAGTTAATGAGGAAAGTAGATTCGCGAGTAGTAATTTTACGAAACATGGTCGGTCCTGAGGATGTGGACGAAACGTTGCAAGACGAAATACAGGAAGAATGCAGCAAATATGGTCAGGTCGAAAGAGTGATTATATACAAGGAAAGACAGAGTGAAGAAGACGAAAATGACGTTATAGTGAAAATATTCGTTGAATTTTTCGAACCTTGGGGTAAGTTGTAATTTTTTAATATAAATTTTCCTAATATATTTTTTTTGTTTTTTCATACTTTTTGTCTTGGTTTTTTCCTTTGTTTTTTGTCTTTTTATTTTTTGATGTCTTCATATTATATATTTTTAATTTTTTTTTCTTGGTGATTTTTTTACAATATAATTTTTGTATATATCTTTTTCTTTAATTTTTATTTTTTTCTCTGTTTCTTTTTTCTATTTTATTTTTCGTTTTTTTTTAAATTTCTTTTATTGTTTTTATTTAATTTTTTGAACTTTGCGGTAAATATATATACAGGGTATTCGAAATTGGTGGATTTCTCATCAAAAATACTTTAGATGATTGCAATTTAATTTTTTTAAGTTTTCAATGGGATTCAGGGACCTGCAATGAATTAATTTAAATATGGTTTTATTTATGTTTTCTCTGAAACAGTTCTAGATAGACATATTATACAAGAGGAAAAAATTCTATTTATTGTATTAACACCCTATATAAATTTTCCTAATTTGATTCTTTAATTTTTTTTTTATTTATTTTTTTGTTTTTCTTTCTTTATGTCTTTATTTCTTTTTTTATTACTTTTTCGTATTATTTACGTTGTAATTTTTGTGTTTTGCAGAAGCGATAAAAGCACGCGACGCCTTAGACGGCCGATACTTCGGCGGCAGAATGGTCAGAGCCTCGATATATGATCAAACGCTGTTCGATCATAGTGACTTTTCGGGGTGAACTACAAACATTTATCTAATTTATTGTGATCGACTGTGCTGTTTCTACTGTGTAGGACGCGAACAAACTTGAATGAAAACACTATTTTAATAAAAGTTAAGTGTACAAATTATCGTTCTTTTTTATCGTTTTTTGTTAAGAAAAACTCTGCAGGCATTTAGACCTATTTTCATGATCTTTCAAGTTTCCTGGAGAATTCCTACGATTAAAAAATAATAAAATGTTTATATATAACGTTCTCTGATTTTATTTCGTAAATAAACTTACTGATTTTTAAAAATATTGTGGTATTTATTTCCCTAAATAAAATAAAACAAAAAATATATTAGGCTAATATTTATTTACACACTAAAATAAAGAAAGTAGAATTCTACTTCTCAACTATCTCGGCAATACTGTCAGCCGCTTCCCTGATAATTCTGTAATAATTGGCCGCTATAGGTCTGTAGTAATACGATTGGTAATCATTACGTTCTTCCATTTTTGCTATGACATCTTTTTCTATTTTTCTAAAAAGTCAAGTTTTAATCATGTCAATAGAAACAAAAGTTTGTAGTTTACCTTATCTGTGCCTTCTCATTTTCAATAAAGATGTACGACAAATATTTTTCGTATTCCTGTTGAGGATTGGTGCAAACGTATCTCGCCAAAAAACGCGTTATTGGATTCTAAAAAAAACTCTACTTAATGCTGCTTTCTCATCACGAACATTGCAATATCTTACTCTATAATATTCCCAGTGCTTAGGGACGTAGTCTTCGGGTATTTCGGCCAGTTTTGCGGGGCCTACGAAGACATTGAAACCGATCACACCCAAGACACAAGGAATCGTTCCTAGCATGAAGTAAAAGTGAAAATAATCCTTAAATTTGGTCCATTGCCAGTTGGAGGCTACAATACGCATGGTCCGGTGTTCTGACATTTTCCTCAGAGCCCCTTAAAACGGTCATATCTTGATTTAGAGCATTTTTAAATTGCAGCATATTATATAACATTTCTTACCAGCATTTATTTGGGCCGCGGTGAATGATTTCAAGAGGGGCTGTAATTTACTTAACAAAGTCATCTTGAAGGTGTATCAAAACGGAAAATAAGGCCTAGAAATAACAACTAAATTCTTCTTAAATTAGTTGATGTTGATCATTTATTTATCTTCCAAAATGACCTTCGCTAAGTGCATAGCTAAGTGTCAAATGTGGTGTCAAAATATGATAATAGACGTCAAAATATTGACGTAAAACAGTTCGGTTTGTAGAAATCCTAAAAAATAAAAGTCTCATGTGCTGTGGTCCGCCGATCTGACAACAAAAAGTAAGGTTGGGTTACTAAAGATGTAAAGAAAATTTAAAAAATACATTCAAAATAAAATTTAAATGAAAAGATAACAGTGATGGGTACTAGTTATTTAAAGATAATTAATCGTTTCAAAATAAAAGCATGTAGCTTAGAAAAGATTTATGGCATGTCAAACAGTCTAAAGAACTTTAGAAAAATCCACACTAGTCAAGGTAAATATTATAAACTTTTCACTAAAAATTAATGATTTATTTTATGTCTTTTAGTTCAAAGACATGGTGAGTATGAATGGCAAGACCCCAAGAGTGAAGACGAAGTGTGAGTTGATTTAACTTTTGAAATAGGTGTTTTATTTTTAATTTTTTTAGTGTTAACGTAACATTTATTACGAAAGATGGTGAAAAGGTTCCTATTCGAGGCAAAGTGGGTGATAATTTGTTATATTTGGCACACAGATATGAAATACCGATGGAGGGTGCTTGTGAAGCATCATTAGGTAAATAAATTTGGTTGTTTTATAATATTCATTGTCTTAAATATTTTTAAAGCTTGCACAACTTGCCATGTATACGTACATGGTGACTCATATGATAAATTACCACAACCTTTAGAGGAAGAGGACGATTTACTTGATATGGCGCCTTTTTTAAAAGAAAACTCACGTTTAGGTTGTCAAATAGTACTAACTAAAGACTTAGAAGGACTGGAAGTAGAACTACCCAAGGCTACAAGGAACTTCTACGTTGATGGGCACACCCCTAAGCCTCACTGATATTATTTTTTATACTTGTACAGTATTTTAGGATCTTAAATCTCAAAGTAAATATAGAGTAGGTAATATAAATAAAAAAAACATAATTTTATTTCATAAAATATTTATTTTTTAATAACTTAAAGAGGATCACATTTCCTAAAGCACTAATAAACTTGTATCTTAATAATTTGAACACATTGAAAATCAAAAAGTTATTATTTTTGAATATTCTTAAAAGTATATTGCATATAATTCTGGAACAAAATGTCACTCATACTTAAATTAAATGCCTTTCTACTGAGATACTAGAAAAAGACGAGAAAATTTAAAACACTTGCGTTGATTTAATAGTATGTTTCTTTACGGTACCACCCTTGTGGATATTTTCTTATCCTCCATTTTCTAAACTCGTCAAAGGCAAAAATAAACAGAGCAAAAGGCAAGGAATAACACCACCTACAAATAAAAATTTATTTAAAATAATATCTTAATTTTTTATAATTCGTATTTGTCGGTAATTGAATTAAAATAACTAAGTATTTTTATATTCATCAATTACTACTCTATAATTGAATTTATACCATTGATCTGGCTGGACAATACAATTTTAAATACGGACCAGATTTTTTTCCAATTTAATTAAATGCTTTCATCACTCTTAAAACACTATACAGGGTGTTTCAAAACAAATGCGAAAAACTTCAGGGGGTGATTCCTTGTTCAAAATAAAGGGTAGTTTGCTTCATAAACGTTGGGTCAAAAGTCAACCATTAGGGAGATATCGCGGTACAAAGATGGCGGAAAAATAATGTTTTTATTTTTTATCTTGAAAACGAAAAGAGATAGATTAATGAAATTTTATGGAAGCAATACTGTTATGAAAACACACTTTCTGGTAATTTTTTCATTTTTTTAAAATGAGTGGAAGGGGTTGAAATAAACTGCCCCTATCATTCTTGTTAACAAAATTTAAAGAAAAATCTTATCAAACACATGCAAAAAAATAATTTGGATAGTTTAGTTTGTTTAGAAGCTTTTTTATCTCTTGTGTTTTTTTGATAAAACTCACCGATTTGAAATTAAAAAATAAAATGTAAAGCATTACATGTCAGGACAAAAAACATTTTTAGATTAAGAATCTAGTGATCATAACGATAATAATAATCATCGAGATAATAACGTATTGCAGTAGAGTAATGTCAAATAAAATAATATTAGGAACATCCTAAAAAGTAACAGCGGCCGACTAGATTTTTTCCTAAAAAAAATACAGCAGCCCACTAGATTCTTTATCAGAAAATGTTTTTTGTCCTGACATGTAATGCTTTACTTTTTATTTTTTAATTTCAAATCGGTGAGTTTTATCAAAAAAATACAAGAGATAAAAAAGTTTCTAAAAAAACTAAAGTATCTAAATTATTTTTTTGCATGTGTTTTATAAGATTTTTCTTTAAATTTCGTTAACAAGAATGATAGGGGTAGTTTATTTCAACCCCTTCCACTCATTTTTAAAAAAGTGAAAACATTACCAGAAAGTGTGTTTTCGTAACAGTAATGCTTCCATAAAATTTCATTAGTCTATCTCTTTTCGTTTTCAAGATAAAAAATAAAAACATTATTTTCCGCCATCTTTGTACCGCGATATCTCCCTAATGGTTGACTTTTGACCCAACGTTTATGAAGCAAACTACCCTTTATTTTGAACAAGGAATCACCCCCTGAAGTTTTTCGCATTTGTTTTGAACACCCTGTATATAATCACTTTGATATTGGCCGACGTTTCGTACAGAAAATTACATCACCAGAATATTTTATGGAAAAAAAAAATAAAAAAAATAAAATAAAATTGCAATACGGCATTTTATTGAGCATCAAATTGCGCAACTTTGCCTCCATTTAACCGATCCTGTATCTCTTACGGTTTCCGAAATCCCAATGATGAGCGTCGAATTCGAGCCACCCTGTACATATATTTACACAGTACGAAACAACTGAATTTTACAGAAAATATACAGGGTGAGTTTTCTACGTTGTTCTCGATGGGTATCTCGGAAACTACTGGAGATAGAGAGTCGGTTAAATGGGGAAATATTTCGAAAAAAAACAATTTTCGGCTATTTTGAAAATGGTCTCTAATTCCATTATAATCTATTTTAGAAAAAAAGTTTTCAGATAAAAGTTGTAAAATAATCACATTCTTAACGAGATGGTGTTCTCCGTTTTCCATTTATTTTTTTTTAAATGGAAGACCCTGTATATTATTGCATTTTTGGGTTCCTTTCAGATCACTTTACATAATCCTAAGATATGATTCAATATTTTTCGATAGTTTCAGAGATATTAAAAAATAAATCAAAACAATATATATTCTTCAGCCCTTCTTAATAAAATTATTAAAAATACGAGAACTGTTCTGAAATCAAAACTATATTAGGTTTTTACTTTAGATGGTCTGTTCTTACTTTGCTATAAATATGGTAATCGTAAATCATACAGGATGTTCAATATTCTACGCCAAACTTTCTAAAATATAAAATATGTTTTCTTTGATTATTTAAATGGAACACCATGTATATTATTTTTTTTTATTAGATGGAGAATTAAAAAATGAACATTTTTTGTATTTAAAGTATTTCAAAATTTTTAATAGCCATTTTTATATCATATGCCATATGAAATATAAAACCGCAAATATCTGCAAAACCGTTAAAAATTTTGAAATATTCTAAATACAAAAAATGTTGATTTTTTAAGTCTCCATCTATTGAAAAAATAATATACAGGGTGCTCCATTTAAAAAAAACGAAGAAAAATGAGTTTATATTTTAGAAAGTTTGGCGTAGAATTTTGAACATCCTGTATGATTTAAGATTTCCATACTTATAGCAAAGTAAGTTCAGACCATCTAATAATACGTAAATACCTAATATAGTTTTGATTTTAGAACAGTTCTTGTATTATTAATAAATTATTTTAAGAAAGGCTGAAAAATATATAATTTTTATTTATTATTATTAATTATCGAAATATATTTACTCATGTCTTAAGATTATGTAAAGTGATCTGAAAGGAAGCCAAAAATGCAGTAATATACAGGGTGTTCCATTTCACACTTCTTTGAGCTACCCTATAGAAGTTAAAATATTTTCCTAAAATACATCCTAGTACATACTTTAGGTTTGTACTTAAACAAAATTCCGAAGTTTTTTATTCTAAGAGCTACAGATGCCGGGGCGGCTCGTAGCACTGGAAGATGGTGAGGCACATTAGAAGAGAATTTTTATTAGTATGTATATAGGGTGACCATTAGTACGAGGAAGTCAAATATCTTCGTAATTGACAAATATATGAAAAAAACTTCTACATAAAAAAAGTGCATATCCTAAAAAAAATATTTTCTGTAAAGTTGCAATCGAATTACCATTTTTCTGTACAGAATTGGATTCAGCATAAAATTCAGCATACTATTGATTTATTTGAAGCACTATATATGCGGGATTTCCATGATAATTCATATTTGAAAAATTTCATTTTTTAAAAAGTGGTAAAAACCTGGAGTGAATTTAACTTATTGATATATTATTGCTTAAGTATGTATATAGCGATACTGCTATGTAGGACAAAAGAAGAAATCCGAGAAAAATTCACATTATTTTATACAGGGATTTTTTTATGGCACGGCCAACATTGCAATATTATAATGCTATATCTCAATTTTTTTAAATGCAATACACACTGTATATTATTTTTAGTATTTTAGATACCTACAGACTTAAAAAGCGCAGATTTTTGTATTTAAAATATTTCTAAATTTTTAGCAGTTGCCTTAAGCCTTATGTAATATAATTCGCAGTATTATACCGTATGATCGAATAAAAACGGCGTCAGCGATGGCTATGAAATGAAGATCGCTGTCATTTTATATGTAAAATTATATGGGAAATATCATCGATCGTCATTTTCAAGCCAACTAGATGCCGTTTTTTTTTTCGATCATACGGTACCTATTATATAGGGCTATTGCAACAGTAAATTTTTATCAAAACGACCTCAGGATATTTTGTCTTATATATTTTACTCTGTATGGTAAAATTTTGTTTTTCTACCAATCCTATAAAAATAAAATAAAATGAAATGTCTGTAACAGGTTGCTTTACTTTTTGACTATACGAGTACACAATTTATCTAGAAATGATTCGTATTCGAAAAACTTTACCTGGGGAAGTCCTCTGATGATGCATGGTCCCTCTAAATCATCATATCAATCAACAAGTCACTGCCCACTTTTTAGGTATTTACTTAATACGTTGTAATAAACATGCAATTCACATTAAAAAACGTATATATTAATCAATTAGAGACAAAACAGTGCAATAACCGGCAGAGTTAATTCAAACTAATACAAATTCCCAAATAATGCAATTCTGCATTTTCAGCCTGTCCCCAGCTGTCGCCTAAAATCTCTCGGGCTGATTGCCGGGAACTGATCGGGAAGTGATACATATATTTAACGAACGGCTTTTAAGGTTTAAATTTACATTTGAGGCTCGCCTCAATACGGTCTTTTTACGCGCTACTACTCCATACATTTTATCTCTCTTCGACTAAAGGTTTTGCCTATGCTTTTTCTTTTCATTCTATAGATTTAAGATTCCAATGAACGCTGTCGCTCCGTCAATGCGATATACCACAATACGTTAGACAAGGAAAGACGAGAGGCAAACTTCTGCACATATACTTCTTAAAGAACAAATGAGATGGATATATATATCGTCGAATTTGTCGCATATGGGAAAGGAAGCGCGTTTAAAGGAATACCATCGACGTAATTTATTGTAGAATGACGGATAAAAAATACAATTATTATTGATGCAAATAGGGAAAAAAAATAAAATTGTGATTAAAGATGTATCGATTAATACGTGTAATTCTTCAAATGTATTTGTGAGGCACTGCCTCATCTGCCTCATAGGACAAGCCGCCCCTGTACAGATGCCCGACGCACTATTGCCGCATCCTGTTATACCTCTTCTATGCTCCGTTAAAAATATTAATAATACAAATAAGAATCAATGTAATATTAAGAGTAATTACTTTTCAAATGTAATGTTATTGATAGCTTTGTTATAATAATTAACTCACCATCTGAATAGCACAGGATAAAACTTCAGATAACTCATATTAGGAAGGTAAGTTAACATACAAGCTACTACTGTTTCGACTACCAAACTTATGTTAAGAACCATGTTGCCCATTCCTTGCTTAAATATCGAGTTGCTCCTTGTCTTACAAACCACCAAATCTAACCACTGTGTTACCACAACCGATATCATAAAGGCCGTGTAGCACGTATACTCTAATTCCTTTCTGTTCTTGTAAGACCATTCTTGTCCGTACGAATCAGTAAGGTCATTAATTGAATCAGCATCCCATTTTTCACGAAGTCCTATAAATAATTATTATGTTATTACAGTTGGGGGTTGGAACCTTTGGTGTTACACAGCAAAATAAAACACTAAATCACCACAATACACCAAAACACTTTTACTTTTACACTGGACGCGCGTTTGGCTAACCATGTTAGCATCATCAGCAGATGATTAAACTAAACTACAATTTACAATTTGAGCGTTTATATTACATTTTAAGAATGTCAATTATAAACTTCTGTATAGTGCTAATAATAAATTACAACAATTATTAGGTAATCCAAAGGATAAAACACCTCAATTGGAAAGGTCGGGTGTTTATGAAATTTCTTGTAAAGATTGTTATCAGAAATATGTTGGGCAAACTAGAAGATCAATATTAACTAGATTTAAAGAACATTTAGCTCAGATATGATACGGTAGACCGGATAAATCTTGCGTTGCTGAACATATTGTTGATAAAGAACAATGTATAGATCTTAATAATTTAAAATTAATTAAACAAGTCTCAAATTACAGGCAATTAGATGCATATGAAAGCATCAGGATTAATAAATGTAAAGATAGTATGAATAGAGACAACGGTCCAATTCTTTCAAGTTCTTTGTTCCTAGTACTCTAGTGACGAAAATCTAACTGTTACGCTCGATAGGCTCTGACTCGGTTGGCTAGATCTTGCCACGCCCACTCGGTGCCCTCTGAGCGAGTATATAAAGGCTCAAATTGTAAATTGTAGTTTAGTTTAATCATCTGTTGATGATGCTAACATGGTTAGCGAAACGCGCTTCCAGTGTAAAAGTAAAAGTGTTTTGGTGTATGGTGGTGATTTAGTGTTTTATTTTTTTTATTATGTTATGTTTTTATAAAAAAAATTAAATTCTAATGTAAATCACTTACCAAATAACCTCATAGGCATAAATCCGTGTTCAGCCATTATAGCAAAATAAACAAAGAACCCTGCCAAAGCCTCTATGAGTCCTATATGCCCGTAAGCCAAGAAATACAATTTTCTGGTTACCAATTTGTCTTTCCTGGGGTTTCTCGGTGGACGTAACATTATATCGCTCTCTGCTCTCTCGTAAGCTAAACTGATAGCTGGTAGCATGTCTGTTAGTAAATCTATACATAGGATTGCCATTACACCTGAAAAAAACAACCCTGTTTTAGCTAAGTTAATGTTTAAAAAACCTTCGAGACAGAGGAGGCCAAATAATAGTGACGTAGAACGCTTTCTTTCGATTACGTCACCTGTAAGCTGGAAGGCCTCCTATTCTCGATGGTGACGGTCCGTTTTGTTAACATTTATAACCACTGGCGAGTATGAGATGGTCTGTTTGCTCCTTTTCTAGCTATATCGTTTGCTTCTTCATTGCCTTCTATCATTTGGTGGACTGGCACACAAAATAGAAAGACTTTATTATTATCTAAGATAACTTATACAGGGTGGTTCGAACTGTATTCCGGAAACTTCGGCAGCATATTCTGCAGATAAAAATAAGTAAAAAACTTCGTATAAATGTATGTCCTAAAATGCTTAGTTTCGGAGATACAGGGTGTAGAAGTTTCATTTTTATTTCGATTTTTTCCAAGTAATTTCTGAAGTAACATCAATATTTGAATGAAATTTGGTATCTGGGAGTTTTTTGACATGAGAAATTTGATTTTGATGTCAATATGACTCCTATTTGTAGGGGGCACCCCTACATGTGTTTTAACTGTTTTGAAGAGTAATAACTTTTCGTCCGTACCTGTATAACACTACTGAGTGAAAAAATACACATTTTCGTGATTTATTACGTAAAAAATGTCTCTTAGTAAAAATCCCTACGAGCAACCGTTCTTAAGATATTTAGAATGAAAATAATCAATACATGTCATTATTGACAAAAAATAAACATGTTGAGTAGATAGTTATTTGATTGAAATGATTAATTTGGGGACTTTTTATTTTTTTAAATTAATTATAATTTTTTCTTCGAAAAAATGATGAAAAGAACAGTTTCTGTTGAACTTTTGGCACAAAAACATTTCAAATTTTTTATTTCAGTCTAACAACTATTTCGTCAATATATTTAATTTATGTCAACGATCAGTGCCGGACTTAGACATCCAGGGCCCCTAGGCACTTGACATTTGGGGCCCTCCCCATGTCATAGCCAATTTAGAGTTTATATTATATAAAAGTTGCGCGCCACTCATTGCATGGGGCCCCTAGGCTGGCTGGGCCCCTAGGCCCGGGCCTTGCTGGCCTAGGCGGAAATCCGGCCCTGTCAATGATGAAAAGGTATTGATAGTTTCGATTCCAAATATCACAAGAACCATTACTCGTAGCGATTTTTACCAAGAGACCTTTTTTACGTAAAAAACTTCGTGATTTTTTTTGAAAGTTTTATACAGGTACGGTCGTGAAAGTTTTATACAGGTACGGACAAAAAATTATTAGTCTTCGAACCAGTTAAAAAATATGTAGGTGGCACCCTCTACAAGTAGGAGTCATATTGACATCAAAAGCAAATTTCTCATGTCAAAAAAATTCCAGGCACCAATTTTCATCTAAATATTGACGTTACTTCAGAAGTTATTTGAAAAAAAATCGAAATAAAAATGAAACTTCTGCACCCTGATCTATCTCTGAAACTAAGCATTTTAGGACATATATTTATACGAACATTTTTACTTATTTTTATCTGCAGAATATGCTGCCGAAGTTTCCGGAATACAGTTCGGACCACCCTGTACAGGGTGTCCTGAAATTAGCGCAACAAAATTTGGTCATAGATTCTTGAAAAAAAAATAGGTAACCCGTATTTTTTATTTTTGGCCAGTGGCCCCCCTTTTCGGATTTACAGCCCAAAGTCTAAAGTTGTGTGTAACCTAAATGTAGTAGAATAAAATTTCATATGAATCTCGATCTGCTTTCAATCACATTTTGTCATTTTTCTCGAAAACTGTACGTTATAGGAAAAAATTCCCAGCGACAAAAAAAAAATCTAAATTCAATGGGCTTTCTAACGAGCTAATAATTTTTAAGAAATTTAAACACGTGACCGAAGTTTTGGGGCTCCAAAGGCAAGGGGGCTCACGAAAAAGTGTCTTAAGAGGCTCCTTCGGCAAAAAGCATAGCACTATCTGATTCCGCATGGCAGAAAACCCATGTGTATCAAATTTAGTGATTTTCGTCCAACAGGACCCTGAAATATTAAAAAAAAACTCTTTTTAAGGGCGAAATTCAGGGGGCTGTAAATCCGAAAAGGGGGGCCACTGGCCAAAAATAAAAAATACGGGTCACCTATTTTTTTTTCAAGAATCTGACCAAATTTTATTGCATTAATTTCCGGACACCCTATATACTCATTTCGATAGATGAATTTTTGGCACAACCGCGGGATTGTCTGAGTTGATACTCAACTCAACAGTCCGGCATTATATCTCAGTGATACGGAGTCCTCTTTGGATAATATTACACAGGGTGCCTTCATGTTTTCCCCGAGCAATCATGACTATGTCATCTGCATACCCTATTCCTATGCGGTGTATTCTCGACGTTAATTAAAAGTTACCTAATTAATTCTAAATTTATGTGTGTGTATATTTTTGTGTAAAATATATTTAGTGGTTTTTTACCTAAGGGAAGTGGAATGTTGAGTAAAACGAAACCCAAGAAGGGTAGGATTTCTGGAACGTTGGAAGCCAGGGTGTAGGCTATCGATTTCTTCAGGTTATCGAAAATTCTGCGGCCTTCCTCGACACCTGTTATGATTGAGGCGAAATTGTCATCCAACAGGATCATGTCAGCTGATTGTTGGGATACTTCCGACCCAGAAATACCCATAGCGATTCCTATATCGGCTTTTTTCAATGCTGGGGCATCGTTAACACCATCTCCCGTCACAGCAACTACAAAAACAAAGGTTTTAATACTTTACTAGCGTGTACCCGCGACTTTGTTCACGTCGAATTAATCATTTGTAATGGTGATGATAAAGCAAAGCAACAATTTCCATTAACATACAAACTGGATAAAATTTTCTCACATTTATGTCAGCATGAGAAAAAACAATATGGTGATATTATTATATAACTTGGTAATATTTGAATTTGAGGGTTAGTTTCATCTCGTTGGAATTTGACTTTCGAAAAATCCGTTTGCCAAAAATAAGCTTTTTACGTCAAGCAGATTAAGCAGAATCGTGGTTAATCAATTATCCAATTTTTTGGAACACCCTGTATGATTTTTTAAAAAATTTCAAAATATGTAAAAAAAATAAATTATGCGTGTCCAAGCGTTTTCCCAAAAGACTAAGCGTTTACAACGGAACACCCTGTATACTTTTTTTTCGAAACACCCTGTATACATTTTTAAAAAATCTTAAAATATGTAAAAAACAAAATAAAATGTACGTGTTTAAGCGTTTTTTCGGAAACTTGACCGTTTTTTAAATAAAAAATATTGTAATATTTGAGGGTTGGTTTCATCCCCTTGGAATTGGAATTTCGAAAAATCCCTTCTTATCGAACCTCTATACCCTAGAATCAACCTTATGCCAAAACTGGGCTTCTTACGTTGACTGGTTTGAGCAGGATCGTGATTAATCAGTGAGTCAGTAACAATAATTTCAAATTCAACCTTTGTCATACCTATTTCTCCCAATCTTTGACACCCCTCAACGATGTGAAGCTTCTGAGTGGGGGAAGTCCTAGCAAAAACTATCTCTTTGAAGCTGTAAAGTATCATGTCCAGTTCTTGGTCACTCATGTCTCTCAGAGCTGTACCATGGATTACAATCGCTTTTTCTTTCAAATCAGGAGGAAGTGTTTCTATTATGTTGATGTTGAAGGCTTCAATAACTTCTTCATAGGAGATTATGCCTACTTCCCTGGCTATAGCTTTTGCTGTAATCTAAAAATTAACGTTTATAGCAAGTTTAAACTTTGCTTGATGTAAAATTTACTGGATGGTCTCCTGTAACCATTACTACACGTATTCCTGCTGATCTACAGCGATCTACAGCATCAGGAACCTTAAAACCAAGAATTTAAAAATATTTTCTGGTTTAAATGGTTCTAAATATCTTACTTGTGGTCTGGGAGGGTCAATCAAGCTCATAAATCCAACAAAACGCAGGTTTGTCCTGGGGAAATTCGGAGGTTCGGCACAGAACTCAAAATCTTTCGTAAAATCGCTGTCCAGTACCAAATCAGCAAAGCCGAGTACTCTCTCGCCTTTTTCTGCAAGTTCTGTACAAGCTCTGTCGCAAATTTCTCTTAATTCGTCAGTCATTTCCTCGGTTCCTGTATCAGTACAGATTGTGGAACACCTTCAAAATAGTTTGAAATTGAAATTTAAGTTTTTCTGAAAAAAAAATCGGGATTTACCTGGCTAAGATCCTTTCTGGAGCGCCTTTCATTGCCAGAAGACAGTATCCTTCTTGCATAGCGTGAATACTTATCTAGAAAACAGCAATACAAATAATAAAATAATATTTTTAGAGCAGAAAAAATAGTTGTTTTTATTCACGTGTTTCAAACAATGTCTGTATCTTTACCTGATATTTTGTTGTTGAACTAAACGGAATCTCCAAAAGCTTCGGGTTGTTGACTCTGAACTCGCTGGGTTTCCCATGGATGTGACTCAACTCGACGAACTTCAAAATGGCCTCTTCCGAGGCATCTCCTCTCACTTTCCTGGTTTGGACAGGCTGATCTTCTTCCCCTTGAAGAAACTCAGCTCTGTTACACAAAGTAGCGCAACGCATCAAAGTTTTGAAAGCTACAAAAAGAAAAGAAGATTCTTTATTCTAGCAACCTTGATATTTAGTAATAGTGATAGAGGCTGATCTTGCACAAAAAGCGAGACCAAGACCAAGACCGACCAGTGCAAGACTATTTCACGTTTTCTTCAACATCCTTACATACCTTCCATTTTGTTGTAGTCTTTGGCGTCTGATTGTTCTGCAGTACTGTCAGCGCATGTGATCCGTTTATTGCACCAAAAATGACAGACTGTCATTTTGTTTTGGGTTAAAGTACCGGTTTTGTCAGAACAAATGATGGAGGTGGAACCTAGAGTCTCCACAGCCTCCAAGTTCTTGACCAGGCAATTTTTAGCTGCCATTCTTTTTGCTGTGACTGACAGGCATACTGTGACTGTAGCTAGCAGACCTAGAGGAATGAATAATTTATAATGAAACTAATAATATTAATTATGTTTTTTTAAATATACCTTCTGGTACATTGGCCACGATAATACCAATCAAAAACAAAGAAGCCTCAATCCATGAGTAGTTCATGGCTAAAGCAGCACTACCGAAAACTACACCGAGAAAACAAGCCCAAACACTGATAATCTTCATAAAATGTTCTAGTTCTCGAGCTATGGGTGTTTTGTTCGGCTGTAATCGAGCTGTAAGACCAGCTATTCTGCCCATCACTGTCTGGTCACCTGTTGCAACTACCAGACCTGATAAAAACGTGGAATTTTGTATTTTTTACCTCGAATTTATAATAATATATACCTTTGGCAGTGCCTTCTACTGCATTGGTTGAGAAAAAAGCAAAATTCTTCGTTTCTAGGAGATTGTCACATGTGCATTCTGTTCCTCTAGGTTGCGGTTCAGATTCTCCAGTGAGTGCTGAATTGTCTACCTAGAAATAGTTCCTATATATGTGAGATTTTGCTCTAAATATATAATTCAGAGATAACCTAGATATTATGTAACGAGAATGACAGTTTAGGATAAACATTACACTCAATATAGTTAGTTAAGAACAGGCGATTAAGAATATCGGGTCGCTCTTTTGTAATCCTGAGTACTACAACGGAATGAAGGAGTTATGAAGGAAATCCAGTGTTTTATTCGGAAAATACGTACTACATTCAGATATCAGAAGTGGGATCAACACACTAAAAGTGCCACAAAAGTTTTAAAAAGTGCCAATATGCCATGTTATGTCTGAATCCATAATTAGCCTGGAAGTTTGTTTCTCTAATTCAAAGTAAAATAAAATAAAAAATAAATGGCCTTTATTGTCAAAATATTTCACAATTTGTAGACAAATGTAAAGTAAACAAACAAAAGAGAATACAAAACAAGTATACAAATTACATTGTCAGTCTTATTGTTTAAAATAAACATTTATAAATGTTTACAATGTCAAAGAATAAAAAAATAGAAATAAGGTTTAAAAATATTTAGTAAGTTTATACTAAATATACTAATAGCAAATATTAGACCAGTGTTTACAAGATCAAATTCGATTATCAAAATATAAGTCATTTACGGCGTAGAAAGCCTTGTCTAGTAAATAAGATTTCAATGCTTTGCGAAATGAAGAAAATAATGTTACGGATTTGATTTCAAAAGGCAGGTGATTGTGCATTTTTTTCGAGTTGTATAATATTGAACTTTTAACTAACCCTGAGCGTGGGGTAAGTAGATAAAGATCTTGCTCCGCGTTCCTGAATGGATAAGTGTGAGATGGCCTTTCTTGAGAAGCTGATACGTGCTTACGTATTAGGCAAACGGATTCAAAATTCAAATATAAATAAGGAAGAAAGAGTTAATATTTTTAATTTTTTAAAAAAGTCCTGGCAATGAGTTCTGCTGTTTAGTCCCAGTGAATATCGAACAGCTCTCTTCTGGAGCTCGAAAATGCGGTCAAATTGAGTCGCACAACACGTAACCCCAGAATGGAAGGGCATATCTGAGGTGCGACTCAAAAAGTGTATAATAAACAGTTCTAGCCACTAATAAGTTAAGCTCCTTAGAAACAGATCTCAATGCAAAACAGGCAGAGCTTAATTTTTTCGACAATGCGTCGATATGCATGTCCTATTTTAGAGAATTGTCTACAACAAGCCCTAAGAATTTTACAGATCTTACGACGTCAATGGTGGTGTTGTTAAGTATAAAAGGCTGCAGCGAGTTTTTATATGACAAAGCTTTAGTTTTAGAAATGTTGAGACTCAGGAGGTTCCAATCGCACCAAGAATTAATAAAATACTCAATTATGTTTCACATTTGACATAAAATTAAAATTAAACAATATCTGTATCGAATTTCGTGTAGAATAAAAACTGAAAAAATATGTACAGAGTGTTGTATTTAAAATAAACAACTTAATGATACAATTGCTTGAAAAACCTCCGGTAGACGTACAATATTTATTATGTATTTTCATTCAACATAGGCGTTCGTCTCATCTGAAAGTGAATTTGAGAAAAAGATAAACATGTCGGATGGTTAAAAATAGTCATGGCGTCATACGAATGCACACAATCCTAGTTTCAATAACCTAGATATTCTAGAAACGCATTTATTCCCTTTTTCAAACGGAGGCAAGCATTAAAATGCTTTATCACGCGTGAGTTTATAGACAATTACTTAAGAATTATGTGGAATGGAATCATATTGGAATTCTTGGAAAATTTCTGGGATATTGGAGATAAAAATAAAGATTTCCTTCGATTCATGTTGAAAAATACAAGAAATTTAATAAGTTATTTTGCAGTTATTATTTAAGAAATTACTATTAAAATGAAAAATTTTTATTATTAAATTATAATTTAGAACAATTTTATCGCGAAAAGTAATCAACATACGTCTGAAATAAAGTTTATTATTTTTCTAATTTCACTGTCATGGGAAAGTCATATTATGATACAGAAGAACTTGTTATACCATGTAATCTAAAAAAACGGCGTTCTGTTAGCTTGGAAATGAACATTCCCCACATAATTTTACATATAAGAACGATATTTATTTCATAACCATCACTGACGCCGTTTTTTTTCGATCATATTAGTATAAAAAAACTACCTTTAAAGACTACTGTATGTATTAATTTATATATATATATATATATATATATATATATATATATATATATATATATATATATATATACCGGGTGCGTCCCAATAGTGGCTCACCGGAAGTGACTACAACTTTTGATTTTTAAGTAGCACCCTCAGTATTTTTTTACTTTATTCGATAGAAAATGACACTCTGAATAGAATGACACATCATATATGTCAACTTTTGACATCTTCGCTTAGAAAAAAATCGTATTTTAAATTTCCATGGCTGTGTTAAAAACACTAATTTTTAATCATTTGATCGTCTAATGTTTTTAGTGTCTTGTCCTGGCCGGTTAAAAGATGCTCAAATCGTATTTTTTTATGAACCTCATGTTACAATTTCCAATAAACCATATGCGAAAATGTCAAAGGTTGACATATGATACGTCATTCTATTCAGAGTGTCATTTTCTATCGAATAAAATGACAAAATACCGGTGTGCCATTTAAAAATCAAAAGTTGTAGTCATTTCCGGTGAAACAGGAAACGACCAAAAACAATTCAATGCATCAATCAATCCTAATTTATGTAAAATACTAGTATACCAACTCTCGTTTTTTTATCTGAAAAAATACAATAGTTATAGGACTGAGCCACTTTCGAGACGCACCCGGTATACACCATTTTTTTGCAAGAATATTAGTAGGTATGTTTAAAACTCGCTAATAGAGAAAAATTAGAACTACCCTATAGAATTACGTAAGATTTATAGTGTTTGGAGTGAAATTTTATGGATACACTTAGGAAATACGTCTGTTATTCGGGACAAAAATAAACAAATCCCCGAATAATTGATGAATAAAATCGCATGAAAAGTAAGACGATGCCTCAACCAAACTATTAAAAATACCGTTAAACATATTTGTTTCCTTTTTGTAAATAACGCAAGTAAAAGAAATATGTAAAAATAAATCATGAATCGTATTTCAAAGCTTTTAAAGTGGCTTTGTTTGTTTGTGTGTTGAAATTTCCAGAAAACAATATGGATGCGAGTGATTCTTGTGTTTCTTGAATCGATATAAAGCGTTTTTAAGTCAAAATAACATTTGTTTTTTTCGACCAATCTGAAATTAAACTATTTTTGAATAATTTTTCTAAAAAAATCAAATGCCTGATTTTATTTGACTTGAGACCATCAAAATTTACTGAAAAAGTTAATTAAAAATATCGGTTAAATAAATCTTTATTAGCAATTTTTCAGGTATTTTTTTAGTGAGGTAATTTAAGAAAAAAAATTGGAGCTATTCCAAATTAAGTGGGTAGCTATTAATAATCAATTAATTCCCGAATTTCTTTAATACAAGATTTCAAAATATAGATATTCTAGAATTCATACATAAATTTTAGAAATACTGACGTTTATGTAGAATTTAAAATGCTGTAGTCTAAGCCAATCCTGTGTAAATGTCAAATTTACAATTTTCGAATTCACAAGACGATTTATTACAGTTTATACAGGGTCACCCAATAATCTGTGGACATACCGGGTGTTGCATCGTCGAGCGGGACATAGGAAATCCCATGTAAATTTTAATGGGGTCAATTATTGGCTTCCTTAATTATTTTAGAGAATAATTCTATTTAGGTTTATTGAAGAGCACTAAAACCCACATTCAAAAGAATAACTTTATATATTTTTTATTAGCCCTTTTACGAGTTATCGCCGATTTTTTTTTAAATATTTCTCCTTTCTTATGGCCCTATATTTACTTATGAGCACCAGTCAAGGTAAAAGATAACTGTCAAATGAAGTTGTCATTTCAGAAATTTATTTATTTATTGCTTTCTATGGTGCCTTATTATTATTACTAAAAACTCATACCTACATCGAAAATATTAGCCATGAATTACACTACCGAAGAAAAAGTATTGATGATTAAATGGTATGATCAAGGAAATAGTTATCAAAAGGTGTTGGACATGTTTGCTGCTCTGTATCCGAATAGACCGATACCTGGAAAATCTACAATCGGAAGGAATATCCAGAGATTTGAGACCAAAGGTACCCTAATAAATAACTGCAGGAACAAGGAGAAGATGCAAGAAATGATACCGACTTGGAAGTTTTATTGTGCGTGGAAGAGAACGATGGAAAGATCAGCACAAGGAAGCTTGAGGATGAAATAGGAATAGATCACACTACAGCGTTTCGAATTTTGAAACGACATAAATACTATTCCTTCACATATGAAAAGTACCAAGAGCTACGAGATGGGGACGAAATACGGCGGCAGGCGTTTTGTTTTGATATGATGGAAAGAGCAAACACGGATAGGGAATTTTTAAAAAACACATGTTTCACTGACGAATGCACGTTAACCTTAAATAATGAACCCTATGTTCAAAATTATAGATATTGGAACAAAGAAAACCAACACAGTTTTGTCGAAACAAGGACGCAATATCCACAGAAAGTAAATGTTTGGGCAGGGGTATTCGGACACAATATTATCGGGCCATTATTTCTTACGCGAAATTTAAATGCAGAATATTATTTGGAACTACTCAAAATCATATTTTACCTACTTTACATGATGCCGCTAGGGAAAATCATGAAGTTTGGTACCAAATGGATGGCTGCCCGGCACATAGTACCCTGGCTGTTCGGGAATATTTAGACAATAGTTTTAACGGAAACGTTATTGGCCTAAATCATACAGTAAATTGGCCAGCAAGATCTCCTGATATTTCGCCAAATGATTTCTTTCTCTGGGGCCATTTAAAAAACAGGATATACAAGGATAAAAAATACCCAAATCTAGATGAGTTAAAAAATGCTATTTCTGCCGAATGCAATAGAATTTCACTTTACCAACTAGCGAATGTAAGAAGAGAATTTTATGATCGCCTGGCTTATTGTCTAGCAGTCGATGGAGGAATATTTGAACATCTTCTTAAATCCTAAAGTTCTAACAATTTAATAGTACCTAAATTAATAAGTTATTGAATATTGTAATAATTTCTATTTGTATAATTTCTATTTTAGAATAAAATCTTACTTTAAACCCTTGAGAATGTATTATCCTAATATCTGCAGGTATCCTATCACCAAACTTCATATCTACCAAGTCACCAACCACCAATTCCCTTGATACAATAGACATTGTTTCGCCACCTCTTATTACTGTGGCTTTTGGAGGCACCATATTCGCAAATGACTCCATAATCTACAGGGAAAAAAATATAAATAAAACAAAAACAAAAATTACTTCTTTGACGTACTTTTTGACTTTTGTGTTCCTGAAAATACATGAAACAGCCTGTGACCACCACCACAGTGACCAGGACACATCCTAGGATTAAATTGTCTGTGTCCAGTTCGTTTTGTGTGATTTTCCTGATGAGGCACGCCACGAAACATAGGGCTGCTCCTATCCATAGTAGCAGAGAAAATCCTGAAAAATGATTTGTTATTAAAATCACTGAGTAGCTACTTTTATACAGGGTTAATCATAAATAAGTGCAAATAAGTAATAAAAGAAACATATCTTCTCTCTACCGTTTTTCAAACAAGTCCAAAATGACCGGGACGCTTTTTTTCGCTTACATTTTGAGAAGCACTGGATCTTTTCTGTGTTTTTTTTTCTTGTAGTTTTAATCTACTACCTATGTTACCATATTATGAAGATTTCATGTATTTTAACTACCTTAACAGTATTTTGAAGATATATATGAATTCCCCATTGAATATCGGAATAATATACTGGGTGTTCAATTTAAAATAAAAGGGTAACTTGTTTTTAAAATGTTCCAATGTTCAATATTAATTTTATCTCACCCTGTATTACTTTTCGGGTTCAGTTTTAATTTGATTTAAAGTACATTGATTATATGTATAGGCTATACTGGATAAATTCCAATTTAGGTAGCTTTTATTGAAATTTAAAATTTGTTCTTCATTTATAGAAAATGTTAAGTACGTCAAAAACCTTACATTTTAGTCATACACTTCTTTAATGAAACCCACCTTTAATTTTTTTCCTAAAATCCGAAAATGAATTAATATATAAAGTGTTCCATTACAAAAAACACAAATCTGATGTGTAACTTTTTGTAGGGACACCCTGTATAACTTCATATATGTATTTTTAAAAAATGCTCTAAATTAACCTACATAATATGCCCCAAAATTTAATTTCAATACATCTACGGTTCTCTATGGAACCTCCGGTTCGTATGAGAGGAGCCACCCTATATAGCTTTTATTTTGCTAGTTAGAATAGTTTATTATAGTTTATAAAAAATATGACTGACAGAAAAAACACTTTGATAAAGCATGTTTCCATCATTTTTCATCATTAACACTAATTTTCTAAATAATTATACCTTCTAGCTAGAATGCCAGAAAATTCATATGAATCATACAATTTACAAATTTGCACGATCACCTGTTTTTCATCTATATACAACGCAAAATTCTAAATATAACATAATTTAAATCAAAATAAACCTTTTCAAAATTTTGAGTAAACCAAAAGCCAAAAAAGAATCGCGTCTGTACCTATACATTTTTATCTTCTACAGTGGCTCTTTTGAAATACGAAAATCTTGAATAGAACACACACGCATCTACAATTACAACATCGAAAAATAGCTGCTCCAATTAAATTCTGACTTATCTCAAACGTTTCTGTGGGGTAGGGATGGGCATATATTTAAAATTATCGATATACGATAATTTTTTATATGCCTACTATAGAAAATATCGATATGGCAATGTTTTCTTTCGATCTGGTTCTCTTGAGATCTCCAGATATGCTTAAGATCTCCATTTATGCATGTTCAATGCACAAAAATGGTTTTTACGCAAAAACGGTACATAGCGTCATACGAAAAAATATCAATAAATTAAAGAACTCGCATCATGGAAACATAATATGGATCTCGTTAGAATTTCTTATTTTTCTTGTGCATATATAATTATATTTTTGAGCTTATAAGTAACAAATAGCGCAAATAACAAAAAAATCAATTACTTTTTATGTCTAGTTTTTATTTTATAAATTTTTGAAGTATCGATGTTAATGGAACCGTTAAAATGACTTTTTAAATGTGTCATGACCTTTGAATAAGAAAACTAAGGAAGGAGCATATCAAAAATCTTAGGTACACCGCGATGGGCCTCAAGTATGGCCGACTTAAATTCCGGTTTATCAGTGTCGTTCTAATTTCATTTAAAAAATGTAAAACTATGATGTAGGGTAGACGTGGGGTAGACTCAATAATTTGTTGTTTTATTTTACGTTGTGAATAAATGTTGGTAGTTATTAAAATTGTTATAAAAATATATAATTCTAATAAAAATAGATAAGTTATAATAAGTATTTATTACCACAAACATCCGATACGCTACTGAAGCAGGTAAGTCAAATTAACGTATCTAAATTCTTTGACATCTAATCTTTGACAAGTAATAAATAAAAGCTAAAATGCAAGAAAAATATATAATTTAGTTAATTTAAGTGAATTTTATAAATGATCGGTTTACTACACGTATGTATATTATATAGTCACTTACTAGCGAAAAGTTGTTTCATTATTTCACTCAATTTTTGCCGAGATCTACCGCACGCTACACAACCAACTATTTTAGAGTCTTTTTCGATAAATCGCGATAGTGTCACTGTTAATTTAAGTTCTGCCACAATTTCCATCTAGATTTATTACCTTTATATCAACTATCAGTAGTAGAATAAATAATAAATAACATAAAATAAGCTCCGTAAAGACTGACAAATCCACAAAATTTCAAATCAAATTCAAATGTGTCAAATGCATCGTCAAACAGAACTGTCAAGGATCCCCACCCTAGAGTGCTTTTATGGCGCTTTTTCCGCCCACCATGCATGAATACATGGATAGCATTATGCTCCTTCCTTAGTCTTCTTAGTCAAAGGTCATGACAGTAGCTTTATTCGAGTTCCCAAAAAGTACGGTTCTAGAACAGTTCCAAACACTGGCACAATATGATTTTTTGCAACTTTTGACATGAATGATTGTCGTAATTAGACTGTGCGATTGTTTTAAACCGTTCTAGAACCGTACCTTTTTGGAACTCGAATTAAGCTTATATGTTTTTCTGACCTAATTATCGTAGTTTGATATGAATAGGCCCTAAAACTCCAAATACCTTAAATTCTTTAGATACTAAAAAGAATAATACTAATTTGGTATTTTTTGGAAATAATTTGGTATTTTTTCCCAAAAATTGGTACTTATTGTACACCATTTTTGGCAGCGGTTTGCCCTCGTGTATAACTAACCTCTGAAAACCGTCTCAAATATTGGCTCTTGTCTAAGCCCTGAGAGCGTATGATGAGTTATAACTTCCCAACTCTCATACAAACTACATATATCGATATTTTGAAACATCGATACGTATTGCACATCCCTACTGTCCAGTTCAAGAGGCGGACGTCTGAATTTGATCCTTGGCCAGCGGCCAGCATTTCAAAATTACGATTTCTGAATCCCACTCGACATACCGACATACTTCCAATACTAAAATCCAACGAAAATGAGTTTTTCACTGAATAAATTAATTCGTATCCGTCAAATCCTTGTCAAAATTATGTGCCTATTTATTAAATATGTATATAATAAAGGCAACTATGAACTGAATGTACAGCTGTAATAAAACTTGTTAAAGATGCATGAGTATAGAAGTTCTATACAGTATAGAACTTATAAATTACTAACGTTATTTATGCGTTTATGTTAGTTATTTATGTATTAGTTTTCAGGCAGAAATCAACGCTATTGAAAAATGCGTACAACTTATCTTAGATAGGAATTATCAGAAACAACAAGAACAATCTTCGGATTGTCACAGGGTTTTTGACAGGACACTGTCTCCTCAATGAACACCTCTGTAGTCTGTAGATTGAAGCTAAAGGTGCGTACTCACTAGAGCATTTTGCTCCGAACGAACCAAACGAGCCGAGCGCGCAGAGCCGAATTCGGCAAGTGAATACGTGTTCGCGAGCAAAATTTCACCGAACCGAGCGCGCCAGACATTTTCGCCGGCTTGTCTGTACAGGGTGGGTCAAATTCTCAACAGAAAAAATGATTTTTTATTTGGGACACGGTCGATATGTCGAACACCTGTAGCAAAATCTCATGTCTTGGTTTGCTATTTATTTTTATTGTTATTAGATATAGTTTAAATGTGTTGATGTTGGTTAAATATATTTTAAATTGTTATAAAATTTTGCATCTCTCATAGCAAGTATTATTTTCCTTTTAATTGATACTCACAGCTAGATTTTTTTGCATTACAGCCGGTGCCGTTCAAAGCCTACTTATTTAAAGCGGGCGAATTTTTATATACTCTATATCTCGAAGAGGAATCGAGCAAAATATCAAGTGTGTAATATTTTTGGAAAAGTAATTTTAAATTCTTTTCAATAAATTAAAAATACACAGGGTGTCCCATATAAAAAATCGAATTTTCTGTTGATAATTCTTAAATTATTAATTTTAAAAAAATTATTACTTAAACCATTAAATTCTACGTAAAAAGGTACTTTGGAAATGTTTTCATAAAAATACAAAATTTTCCATAGCAAAAAAGTTACAGCGATTTGTTTAAAATGCATATTTTTGAAAAACAACCTGTAACTCCGAAACCGTAACAGATATCGATATGCGGTTTTCACCATCATGTTTTTGACAAAAATTGAGCTCCAGACACCGATATTAGATTTTGTCTATCTCCTATAGAAAAGGGTGTTTCCATTTAAAAGCGTCGAATTTGACCCACCCTGTACATGAATTTTGCCTAAGAAAAAAATTGAAAGTCTTCTGGCAAGTTTCAGAAGGGAGAACAGGCGAAAGGAAATTTTTCAGATGAATATCTACTATCCATATCTCTCAGTAGCCTTCCATTTTGACGGCGTAAAAACAAACTTCTTGCCCATAATTTTCTTGATGTTTTCTTCTTTTCCCTATTGGTAACGTTTTGTATAACGAAAAAAGCACCAGCAGCGATAATAGCATCTTCCGGGTCCATTAACACACTCGATGCAGAACGGTGACCTAGAGATTCAAAGCGGGAATAAAAATTAAATACAACTGAACGTGGGAACACAGCGACCGCAACAAGCACTCTGAACATAGCGATCTTTTCCTTATTGAGTTCGTGCGCGCTCGGCTCGCTTGGTTCGTTCGGACCAAAATGCTCTAGTGAGTACGCACCTTAAGAAACAACGGTAAATGCAGATTCTTTTGGAAAATGAGGAAACACCAGAACACCTTATCACTGAGTGCACCGAGACGACAACCATTCGAGTCATAAACTTTGGTACGACCTTTGAATAAGAAGACTAAGGAAGGAGCATATCAAAAATCTTAGGTACACCGCGATGGGCCTCAAATATGGCCGACTTAAATTCCGGTTTATCAGTGTCGTTCTAATTTTATTTAAAAAATGTAAAACTATGATGTAGGGTAGACGTGGGGTAGACTCAATAATTTGTTGTTTTATTTTACGTTGTGAATAAATGTTGGTAGTTATTAAAATTGTTATAAAAATATATAATTCTAATAAAAATAGATAAGTTATAATAAGTATTTATTAACACAAACATCCGATACGCTACTGAAGCAGGTAAGTCAAATTAACGTATCTAAATTCCTTGACGTCTAATCTTTGACAAGTAATAAATAAAAGCTAAAATGCAAGAAAAATATATAATTTAGTTAATTTAAGTGAATTTCATAAATGATCGGTTTACTACACGTATGTATATTATATAGTCACTTACTAGCGAAAAGTTGTTCCATTATTTCACTCAATTTTTGCCGAGATCTACCGCACGCTACACAACCAACTATTTTAGAATCTTTTTCGATAAATCGCGATAGTGTCACTGTTAATTTAAGTTCTGCCACAATTTCCATCTAGATTTACTATCTTTATACAACTATCAGGAGTAGAATAAATAATAAATAACATAAAACAAGCTCCGTAAAGACTGACAAATCCACAAAATTTCAAATCAAATTCAAATGTGTCAAATGAATCGTCAAACAGAACTGTCAAGGATCCCCACCCTAGAGTGCTTTTATGGTGCTTTTTCCGCCCACCATGCATGAATACATGGATAGCATTATGCTCCTTCCTTAGTCTTCTTATTCAAAGGGTACGACTGATATCAGAGACGGAGAACTAACCTCTGTAAAACCGTCTCAGATACAATAACTTGTTGTATGTCAAAATACTTACCGTGTGTGAGTGTTTTAATAAATTTGATGTACTCAGGTGTCTTATGGGATGGTGTTAATATATTGGGTCCCGTTTTCTGTAAGACTGTAGCAGCCTGTTCCACCGTCAAGCCTTTTTCTCTATCTGTATGAAGTCTTCTGCATAGATCGCCTGAAATCAATAAAAAAAAGAACCATTTTAAAATTATAGAATATGAAAATAATATTCAGTACATAATTCAAGTAAAATTGAAGAGTCTATTACGCTGTATTGTTCGAGTCGCTCTCGGGTGTGTGGCCGAAGGAAATCTATAGGTACCGTAAAATGGGGTGAATAGAAACAGTTTCGTAGGCTATTAGCGATATACCGGTTGATAAAAATGTGGTATTATGTTCCCGAATATTTTAAAACATGGGTCTTTGTTTGTTCTTTGCGTATACATATAATTTGAATTTTGAAAAATATTGTTACGGATTCCGTGGGTCCACTATTTAAACTCACGATAAAATACTTAACGAATTTATTTTCTCACTTTATACACAATTACTAACTTATAACACACAACAAACTAACTATTTATAAGATTCCTTCACCAATTTGTCCGATTTTCAATTTCCACGCGGTATATTCAAATTTCAAAAACTGTCTCAGTTGTCGATGGCTCCGGCTTATATACTCTATTGACTGCTTCTCGAAATTTCCCCAATTCTCGGAAAGCGTACTTCTTCATACCAGACAATTCCATTGTCTGATTCCCTTACTTCTCGACTTGACTAAAAGATGGCGCCTGAAAAAGTCTTTTAATTTCTGGCGGATACGTTGCGGTTGTGCAGGCAACCAGTAATACATTTTTAATTTCTGGCGGATACGCCATTTTTCTTGACAATATGCATATAAATATTAAATAAAAATAACTTTTGTGTTTCTATTCACCTGCTATTCGGGAGAATAGAAACACACATTGACGTTAAGGTTTTTATCTATTCTATTTCCAACAAGGTGATTAGAAACAGATAATTATTACATATTTAAGTAGGTTTAGCAATAATTAACAATACATATAATATAACAACTTACATGTACCAGCTTAAGTATTACTTTAAAAATAAATATTTTATTTATAAAGTTTTCGCGCCATACAAAATAGGTGATAAATCGATCTCACATTTATTGATCAGCTGATTGACAGAAACAGTGCTGCCACAGATAAAAATATAGTTTTTACATTTTATTGTGTTTTACCAATGATAGAAAAATTAGATATGTCGACTCTTTTTACTTTGAATATTTTTAATCGTGATTTGATTTTTTTCAGAAATTTTGTTTCTATTCACCCCTATGTTTCTATTCACCCCATTTTACGGTACTAATATATAAAATCCTTAAGTGACTGACATACTGATTAATCACGATCCTGCTCAAACCACTCAACGTAAGAAGCTCAATTTTGGCATACAGGTTGATTCTAGGGTGTAGAGGTTCGATAAGAAGGGATTTTTCGAAATTCCAGTTCCAAGAGGGTGAAACCACCCCTCAAATATTACAATATTTTTTATTTAAAAAACGGTCAAGTTTCCGAAAAAACGCTTAAACAGAAAAATCTGGTCATTGATTAATCACGATCCTGCTTAAAGCGCTTGACGTAAAAGGCGGATTTTTGGAAAACAGGTTAACTTTAAAGTGTAGAGGTTCGATAAGAAGGGATTTTTCGAAACTCGAATTCTAAGGGGGTGAAACTATCCCTCAAATATTAAAATATTTTTTATTTAAAAACCGGTGAGTTTTCAGGAAAAAACTCTTAAACACGTATATTTTATTTTGTTGTTTTACATATTTTAATTTTTTTTATAAATTTATACAGGGTGTTTCATAAAATATGACCATTGCGTAATCACGATTCTGCTTAAACTGCTCGACGTTTAAAGCTGATTTTTGGCAAACGGATTGACTGTGGGGTGTAGAGATTCGATAAGGAGGGGTTTCTCGAATCTCAAATTCCAAGAGGATGAAAACGCCCCTCAAATATTACAATATTTGTTATTTAAAAACGGCTAGTCTTTCGGGAAAACGCTTGAGCAAGCATAATTTATTTGGTTTTTTACATATTTTGAATTTTTTTAACAAATCATACAGGGTGTTCCAAAAAGTTGGGTAATTTCTTAACCACGATTCTGCTTAAACTGCTTGACGTAAAAAGCTTATTTTTGGGAAACGGATTTTTCGAAAGTCAAATTCCAACGAGATGAAACTACCCCTGATAGAATATAAAATTCTGTATACGACAAGTATAGCTTTGACTCTTATGGAATTTTCTTAATATTTTTTTCAACGGTACAAACCCTAGTCTTGTTTTTTCAGCTTTAAGACAATATAAGCGGAACTAGCGCTGTCTCTCCCGGGCTCTCCCTCAACACTATTAACATTTCAGCTCAAACTAAGTCATATTCTGATAGAATATAAAATTCTGAATACGACAAGTATAGTTTTAACTTCTTCAAAATTTTATTAATATTTTTTTTCAACGGTACAAACACAGGTCCTGTTTTTTCAACTTCGAGACAAAATAAGGGAAACTAGCGTTGTCTCTCCCGGGCTCTCCCTCAACTCTATTAACATTTCAGCTCAAACTAAGTCATATTCTGATAGAATACTACCCCTCAAATATTACCAAGTTATATAACAATATCGCCATATTGTTTTTTCTCATGCTGACATAAATGTGAGAAAATGTTATCCAGTTTGTATGTTAATGGAAATTCTTGCTTTGCTTTATCATCACCATTACAAATGACTAATTCGACGCGAACGAAGTCGCTGGTACACGCTAGTATAATAATATATTATATTTCAGAAATCTGCCACACCCAAAATTCCAAACACACGTGCTTGGATTAAGGCTTGATTAAGGTTTGCAGAGCTTCAGTATTTGCCAAAAAATAGCGAGCAATTTGTTACAAAACCATATAAATTATATATCACTGTAATCACAAAACTTCAATATATTTCCGTATTGTAACGGAATTTTAAATCATGTCTTTATTTACGAGAAAATTTAGTCCAAACATAACGAATATTTTGTTGATGTTTTACCATCAAAATCTTAAAAATAAGGAAGTTGTTTAAAAATGTGCTACAGTACGGATATCGTATAATCCTTTATCTTTAATTTCCTTCTTCATTTGTGTAAAAATACTTGACCAGTTTTACATAAAACGTTAAATGCCGAACGCTTATTTTGCTACTTTTTCGGACTACTGAAATGGACTCTTAATCAAGTCTGGGAGGAGTATTGGCAATATTTAACTAAAAACTTGGATTAGACTGGATTTTCTATTATGATTGGTATTAAATTATTTTTTTGTGCCAATTTTATTTTATACCACATTTTCTTATTGACAAATCTCTTTCTGGGAGGGGTAATTACTCCCATTACCCCTCCCGTATATGCGCCCCTGCTCATAATAGTCTGGAATGAATTATTCCCAGATGTTCGCGAGAGATATTCTGTATTAAATAATTTTATTTCAAATATTTATTTCTTTTATTACACTAAATTTAACTGAATGAATTATTTTTCAAATTAATTTCCAGAAATTCCCCACTTTGTATAACATAAGAAAGACACGTGGATCATATCAGAAATGGAAAATTTTATCTAAACAATGTGCATCTCTATTACTGAATGTAGGTACCGTATGCTCGAAAAAAACGGCGTCAGCTATGGCTATGAAATGAAGATCAGTATCATTTTATTATGTAAATTCATATGAGAAATGACTTAAGACAAGTCTTTTTAAAACTGACTTATTGCAGCTCTGGTTATAATATAAATCATATTAATACTAGCCTCCGGTATTCATAGAATATATATTTTTAAATACAATATTTTTAAAAATACAAAATCCAGTATAACCTACTTTCCAGAAAAATGCTTAACCTTTAAATTTAGAAAAAACTTGGAGCATCATACAGCGTATTTTTAGGCTCTTGCCCGAATATATTTTGCTAAGAACTACATAAGTTAAATTTAAACCCGCATATAATATTTCGTAAATACAAAAACCTAGAGCAAATAAACTGTGGAGGAAGTTAAAAGTCATATATTCTAGAAAAGAAATAATATGGAATGGGAAATATAATATTTTGTTTCTGAATTTCAGGGAAACCGAAATAAAGAGTAACTGGCAAACGAACATCTAAAATAAGACAAAGTTATTTTTAAAAATTTAACCGATATGTGCATCGAAGGAAGAATTTTGAAATTTCTCACTTCACATTCAAAGAAACTCTCACAAAAAACCTGTCTTTTAGTTTAAAACTTTAAAAATGTACTCCAGTAACATTACACAAATGACATATATTTTTATATATTTCTTTTATAATATAGAACAATATTTGCCTAGTTTTGGAAGAAGATCCAAAAAAATCCAAAAAAGGTAAGTTTATTTCATAATGAGTGAAAATCAACAAAAACAAATTTAATTTTAAACAGAGAATATTAAAAAGAATTTTAATTATTTTTCACAAGTAATAGTCTGTATTGCCTCCTCGAGCCTCCATGCAAGCTGTGAGACGACGTGGCATGCTCACAATTAAGTTGTCCAGAAGATGTTGAGGAATGGCTTCCCATGTTTCGCGCGCAGCAATTTTCAATTTATTTAAGATACGGGTGGGATCATTCCTTTTGGTAATATGGCGTTTTAGCATGTCCCAAGCATGCTCGATCACATTCATATCTGGAGACATCGGTGGCCACCACAGTTTTCTTATACCCTCTTCCTCACAAAATTCGCGAACCGCTAAAGTGCGATGGGGAGGAGATGGGGACGAAATACGGCGGCAGGCGTTTTGTTTTGGTATGATGGAAAGAGCAAACACGGATAGGGAATTTTTAAAAAACATATGTTTCACTGACGAATGCACGTTTGCCTTAAATAATGAACCCAATGTTCAAAATTATCGATATTGAAACAAAGGAAACCAACACAGGTTTGTCGAAACAAGGACGCAATATCCACAGAAAGTAAACGTTTGGGCAGGGATATTCGGACACAATATTATCGGGCCATTATTTCTTACGCGAAATTTAAATGCAGAATATTATTTGGAACTACTCGAAAATCATATTTTACCTGCTTTACATGATGCCGTTAGGGAAAATCAGGAAGTTTGGTACCAAATGGATAGCTGCCCGGCACATAGTACCCTGGCTGTTCGGGAATATTTAGACAATAGTTTTAACGGAACCGTTATAGGTCTAAATCATACAGTAAATTAGCTAGCAAGGTCTCCTGATATTTCGCCAAATGATTTCTTTCTCTGAGGCCATTTAAAAAACAGGATATACAAGGATAAAAAATACCCAAATCTAGACGAGTTAAAAAAAACCTAATAGAATTTCAGTTTACCAACTAGCGAATGTAAGAAGAGAATTTTATGATCGCCTAGGTTATTGTCTAGCAGTCGATGGAGGAATATTTGAACATCTTAAATCCTAAAGTTCTAACAATTTAATAGTACCTGAATTAATAAGTTATTGAATATTGTAATAATACTATAATTAACCTTGAAATTGATTACTTTATTTTACTTTAATTCATATTAATTTGTATTTATAAATACATCTTTAAGATTTCCGATGGAGGAATGAGTTTTCAATAATAATAAAGCAATAAATAGGTAAATTTTTGAAATGACAACTTCATTTGACAGTTATCTTTTATCTTGACTGGTGCTCATAAGTAAATACAGGGCCATAAGAAAGGAGAAATATTTAAAAAGAAATAGGCGATAACTCGTAAACGAGCTAATCAAAAATATCTAAATTTATTCTTTTGAATGTGGGTTTTAGTGCTCTTCAATAAACCTAAATAGAATTATTCTCTAAAATAATTAGGGAAGTCAATAATTGACCCCATTAAAATTTACATGGGATTTCCTGCTGATGTCCCGCTCGACGATGCAACACACGGTATATGCAATAATTTTGGCCATGTGTGAGATATCATGAAAATATCCTAATATTAAAAGATGCCCTTACATTTGAATAAGAAATTCACTTCGAAAATAGTTTTTCCTTCTCTATCGCGATGATTGGAGCGTCGTGAGTTGCGAGGAAAACCAAACAAATCTGGAAAATGTTAGCGTTAACCGCGTTTTTCCTGCCAAGAAAATGGACGCAACAGCGTGCGTAAGATCGAGTCTAGACGACAGCAATGTCGCGATCTGGAATGAATGAACAGAATAAAATCTTTTTATATTTGTTTCGGTAGGTTAGTGATACCCATTGGCAACTAAAACCACTTCGAAAAAAGAACTGTGACGATAGTTTAGAGGAAGTGTCCTTGATGACAAAAAATAAATCGATTTTCTAGAAGGAAGATTTATTTTTAATTATTTTTGAAAAAAATGGGTTAGTTCTAACTTTTTAATGTATTTTTTAGTTTAATATAATCAATAATTATATATTTGCAACAATATGTCCTAAATCAACAGAATGAATAGAAGAATTAAGTTAACTTGGAGTACGTAGGTTGCCTTTTAAGTTTTTTACAAATGTGAAACAGAAACGAACAAGTTCGAAACAAAAAGTGTTGTTGCTTTTCGAAATATTCGCTTTTAATGCCGGGTCCAGACCAAGGCGACAAAAACTAAACACGATTTTGAGACAAAAACAAGACAAACTTGCGACAAAAAATGGGGAATTCTGACAAGACAAACTTGAGACAAATTGTCCACACCGCAAGAACAAAAGTACAACAAAGTCAAAAGTTTAGTTGTTACGAATGAGTTTTATTAACCATGTATGATTTCACTGGTCTCCTACTGTTCATCCTACACGCCATCCACACTGCGCCGACAATTTGTCGTAAATTATACGAACAAAACATAGACACTTTGACCTTTACCGACTTAAGACGGGACATTGAAAAGTCTCCGAATTTTAAAACAAAATAAAAATGAGACAAAAATGTCACAGAAATATTTCCAAACTGGTTGTAGGCATGTAGGCATTGCAAGTGGCTTGAACATTGATGCTCTAATATCCCTTGCGATTTATATATTCATCAGCATGAAAAGGTGGGTTTTTTTATTTTTATGTGAGTGCAATCGATCACACCCACTGCACATGGAAAAGTGTACTTTGTTTGCCATCTTTCTTTGGCTTCTATAACATCTGCCGGAGTGCAAGGGAATTTTATCCACTGTCCACATTTTTCTATCATCTGGTCAGCAACTTGAGTCACAACTTTAAAAACAACGTTTTGATTTACTCCGGTATAAACCTACCTAACCGAAGAATATATGCCATTAAATTAAAAAAAATAATGCCAATAAATGTATCTCCACACTGATACCACGACCATAAAAATCGGATTACAAAATCAAAAGTTATGAAACATCAAACTTAGTCAAATTTTTAAGGTGTAATGGTCTCTAATTTAAGCTATGTTTGTACAACAGTACCTTAGAAACTTACTTAAAGGTACTGAATGATCATCAGTTATAACATCCCTCCTAAAATTCTCCAAACGCGCCAAGGAAATCTCCTTCCTGCTCATCGACTTCCTTCTTTCAATTTTCCTCTTCACCAACGGCATGATGACGAAACTATTCAACTTAACACGAACTTCACACTATATTTTACCGCAATAAAAACACTGATATCGAAAAAACTGTCGAAACCACCACTACTATCATAAGAAACCTTCGCAAACGTGAGAAACCATCGTCATTGACATGATCATTCGTCGTAGAGATGCTAAAATCGACGGGAAATTAACACTAAACGCTTTTAAAAAGTCGCTAATAAATGGAGCGTGGCACCAAGACACATATCACCGCGGTACCACCTAAAAATATCGATCGGAAACCGACGCGAACTGGAAAATCGGGAAAATTTTCGGGAAAACTCGGGCCGAAGCGTTTCCCGAAGAGTGGACGCGCAAAGTAGGGACAGGTTTAAATAGTTTTGGCGGTTCGCACGCACTCCGTGTCCCGGAAAATGAATTTTGCGCCGATGTTGTCTGGATAAGTCCCTCGGGAAATGGAAAATGAACGCCTTCGGGTGGGTTTATTTATATCCTTGTTTCTATAGACGCGGAAAGCTTGCGTGCGTGTAGGCTGATGTGCTTAAAAAGCCAAATTTTAATCTCGGTTTTTTTGGCAATTAAATTAATAATTAATCCATATGGGAACTGATGATTTTTAGCCAAAAGAAAAAATAATTGATTGGAGTTTCAGGTTAAAGATAGTTGATATTATACACTCAAAACGCAACGGACAAATTTTTGGTTAAGTTTAAAGTGTTATACAGGGTGGCGCACCTCATTCGCCTCGGTTGATTATACGAAAACGGAAAGATGTAGAAACAAAATATTTTGTGGGTACATGTGGGGAGGCAATGTGCACAATTTAAAATTATTTTGAAATATACAGTGTGTTTCAGAACTAATATCCATACCAAAGTTATATTTTTTCTTATGGAACACCCAGTATTTTATTTCATTTTTGGGTTCTTGAGCTCAAAAAAGCCATTTATTATAAGGGTTAAATATTATGTTTAAAATCTTTGGTTTTTGAGATATTTAAAGATATTTAACTTTGCATGTTACAATAGAATAGATTATTAACACCCTGTGCATTACATTACTTTACTGCAAAATGTTATTGCTTCCTTAAATTTATACAGGGGTATCAAAAATTGCTGATCTATTTTAAGGATTTATCTTACATAAAAACTTCGTTATTTCAAATACAACACCCTGTATTTTTTTAAATAAATCGAAGCAGATGTAAATGCTCTTTCAAACTATATTAGGGTTTCCTATACCTATCTAGCTCAGATTTTGAATAAAAAACTTCTTAAATAAAATTGCAATCAAGGTGGCTGGTGTCGCCATATCAATTTTCTAGTGAGAGTTCTTCTTCTTCTTTCTTCTTAAACTCTCCGTTTCAGGAGAGAGTTGCGTTGCCTAGGCTGCCAGGACCATTCTGGCAAAGTACTTTTCTGCTTTTCTTTTTTCTATTTTCTTTTTTTTTTGGGTGGTCACGTTTTATGAACTTTCACCGGTAATAACTATTTTTAAAATCGACAGTTACTTTATTATTATTATTTATAATTTATAACAGTTTACTTAAAATTACCTACAATAGTTTAATATAAGTAAGTATTCACTATTTTATCAAGAAAAATAAAGCAGTATCTGCTGGCGGAACGAATGGATATGTTACTAGTGATTTTATTTTGTGAGGAAAATTGCTTTTTGGCCTCAAGGGCTTATGCTCAAAGATATCCTAATAGGAGTCTTCCTGATAAGCGTTCTTTTGAAAAACTACTTGGTAGCTGGTAGTGTGGTTTATAAAAAACTTATTAGGCAGAAACCTGTCATTGGAAGTGAAGAAAACGTATTTGCCGTAATTGGCTCTTTTAAAGAAAATCCATATATCTACAAGTCATTGTAAAATAAATCAAAGACTACTTCTTCGTTTTTCTTGGTAGAATAATAAATACATATTTAATAAATATTACTTATTAAACTATTGAAGATAAATTAAATAAAAGTAAACTGCTATAAATTTAAATAATTTTAAATTAAGTCCATAAACTATTGTCGACTTTAAAAATAGTTACTGTCACTAGAAAATTGCCATGGCGACACCAGCCACCTTGTTTGCAATTTTATTTAAAAATCGTTTTTTTATTCAAAATCTGAGCTAGGTAGGTATAGGAAACCCTAATATACTTTGAAAGAGCATTTAAATCTGCTTCGATTTATTTAAAAAAATACAGGGTGTTGTATTTGAAATAATGAAGTTTTTATGTAAAATAAATCCTTAAAATAGATGAGCAATTTTTGATACCCCTGTATAAATTTAAGGAAACAATAACATTTTGCAGTAAATTTTATTTCTCTACCTTTAAACTTAGCACAAGAATTAATTGTGAAATGTAATGTACAGGGTGTTAATAATCTCTTCTACTGTAGAATGCAAATTTAAATATCTTTAAATATCTCAAAAACCAAAGATATTAAACATATTTAACCCTTATAATAAACGCCTTTTTTTGGGCTCAAGAATCCAAAAATGAAATAAAATACTGGGTGTTCTATAAGAAAATATATAACTTTGGTATGGATCTTAATTCTGAAACACCCTGTATATTTCACAAAATTTTTAAATTGTGCACATTGCCTCCCCACGTATACTCATAAAATATTTTGTTTCTACATATTTCCGTTTTCGTATAATCAACCGAGGCGAATGAGGTGCGCCACCCTGTATATCGTTTTTTACGAAAGACAAAAAATGTAGTAAATACTAGAAGTACCAAGAAAGTTTAACGAAGAAGTTAAGTTTACGAAGAAAAAATCGGCCGTCGGTTGAGTTGGAAAATATTTATACTAAAATTTATGTAGTGGTAGGGGTAGGTTTCGCCCTTCCCATACTTCTTCTTGAATTTTGTAAAAGTCAAATGTTAAAGCACTTAGCAAACATAGACACACAAAATCTCATTCAAATCGGAATAACGGTTCTTAAAATATCTGAAAAAATGTGTTTATTTTTTTAAAGTTTGATGTCCCCTAGCGGACAAACGGAGCACTTTCGTATAGAGGTAAATAATTATTGTGTCCAATGAACTTATTTTGATTTCAAAAATACTATAGTACTTCTGTATCCACGGAATATTGGGACACCCTGTATATTATTTCTATTAATTATTATTGATATTTTTTGAAAGACCCTGGATATCTAAAAACTTAACTTTTTCCATTATTTTGTCGCACACTGTAGTTTGCAGCCATGATAATTGTAGCACAACAAAATGACTTTTTATTATTGCTGAAATAATTCTACATAATCTCTATTCTATTTATACAGCCACTTCGGTCCATCATTGGACATAGACCTCCCCCAATCTCTTCCACTCTTCCCTCCCTTAACTCCCTTCCCTCCTTCCACTCTACATAATATTTTTAAATTATGAAAATAAAAAAAATGTGCCCATTTGTTGCAAAATATTTGACAAATTCTGTTTAAAACAGTATTTGTCAAATTCTTTTTAACATTTTACCTCCTCATATGCTATACTGTAATCTGCATCGCTCATTATAGCATCTTTTAGTTTAGGAGCAGGTCTATTTTTCTCCCCTATAAAAGACATCAACAATATATGTTTCTTTACAGTAATAACTTTAGGGCACTTGATTCCTACTCTTTGTAAACGTAGTAGATTAGCCATTTCTTTTTCCACCCATACATTAATATTTTTTTTAGATGTCTTCTTTCCTGAATATTTAATTCTAATTATTATGGGTATTTACTAAGACAATCCTTAAGTGTTCTTACCAATTTTGTCTTTAAATCTATGATCATCCTTAATATACTGATCTCTTCTTTTAAATTCAGCCAATGTAGTCTTAAAAACTTTTAGAACACATTCCTTAGGCAGGGGTTCCTGAACATCAGGAAAGTCAGTATTACTATCTACGTGAATAATAACTGCTTCCTTACCTTTAAGAATTATATAAATGAATATAATTTAGTAGGTATTTATTTCACACAATTACCTATACTAATCACTCCATTAACTGAGTCCAATAAACCTCCATTAACCATCTTATAAATCAAAAGGCGAGTATATTCGTCCATGCCAAATTCTGCGGTTGCTCTATCTTCTTTTTTAGTATCAATTCTATATCTTCTCACTTGTTCTTTTTTAGAATGTTTTTTTAAACTAAAGAAAGGATATCACAATTTTTTTGCTACATCATTAAAAATTCTTACCTGTTATACACTTTATTTGAAAGTTTCAAATCAAATGTTTCTCCATCTCCTGTTTGAAATTCTGGAGGAAATGATAGAAGTTTACAGGCATTTTTCCTCCCATTATTAACAAGATCATGTTTCGTTATTAAAGTACCGTTTTGTTGGACCTATAATAATACAAAAAAAATAGAGTAAATTCATAATAATTATTAAAATTATAATACTTTATAACCACAACCAGGTATAGAATCAATAACTTTTTGCAAAGTATCAAAACGGTCCCAATCTTTTCTATCCTGTATGTCTTCAATCTCCTCTGGTTCTGAATCACTTTCAAAATCTAATAAACAATAATACATACAATGTTGAACACAAAAATAGTATAATATTTACCAAAATTGTGAGGAGCTCTCTTATAATTTTCTAATGATATAGATACCTTGGAAGTACCATTTAATTTTTGTTCTTTTCTTTTTAATGTATCATCATATTCTTTATCAAATTGCATTTGTAACATTTGTGCAATAGCAGCATCACTTTCAATCGAATCGTTAGATATGGCTTTTAACACTTCATCTGGTATATTTTCATCTATTTGGGTGTCATATAATATTGGAGGACCAGCTTCATCTAGTTTTCCTTCATAAATTACAAATTATACCAAATTAAAATAAAACAAAATTATAAAAATAATTTTACCTATATCAAGAAACTTTCTGTGCAGTTCATTTTCCTTGTTTTGAAGATTTCTTGCAACATCTTCAGACATAATTTCTGCAAAACTAACAGGAATTTCAGGCTTTTGAATTTTACCCCACGGAGAAGACATGTTTCACAACGCAAAATTAAATGGTACTTAACTGTGGTACTGAATTTCTGAATTAATAAATAAATTTAGAATAGAAACTAAAACGAATATATGAACAAATTATGAATTGTGAAATATGTTGAAAGTTGTAAGGATTTTAAATGTCAAAATTGACTGATAAGACAGCTGATTTTTGTCATTATTTTTGTTGATCTTTAACAAGGTTATCAAGGTTATTAAATTAATAATTTATGTTAATAACCTTGGATCTTTAATCTCATAATAGATGGCGCCAGGTACATTATGGATTTTATATGGATTACTTGGATTCTATGCTTGGATTGCTTTATAAAAAGATGGATTATGATGGTAAAATTTGGATAAAGTCCCTAAATATTATGTACCCTTTCCAGAAATATTGTGCGCGTTCAGGGAACACAGCGGCTGACCGACCAGAGGATCATGATCATACTATCAGAGACGTAGAGGAGAATAAAACAAAAAATGTCCATTATCTGAATTATCTCTGATGTTACCATGCATGATTTACTAGGCAAGAATTTTATACAGGATCAGGGACAATCCCTAAATAATCTTTCGAAACAGAACCAGCAATTAAAACAATGTTTTCTGTTAAATACCGTATGATCGAAAAAAACGGCGTCAGCGATGGCCATGAAATGAAGATAGCTGTCATTTTATATGTAAAATCCTTTGGTAAAACAAGGGTAAAATCGTTTGTAAAATCTGTTAAAAAGTGTAAAATTATATTTTTGTGAATTATACGGCTAATTGTTTTTGCGTGTAAAAAGAGACCGTTTAGGGAAACCGCTTACACAGCCACTCAGCCGCTGACCGTCCCTGAACGCGCCCATTGGTATCCATTTTTCTGAATTCTTTGGATTGCCCTAAGTGAAATTATTATACTTTTTTATTGTTAATCTTATACTTGAATTATACCGTATAATCGAAAAAAAAACGACGTCCAGTTGGCTTGGAAATGAACATCTCGTTGACATTCCCCATATAATTCACAAAAATATAATTTTACACTTTTTAACAGATTTTACAAAGGATTATACCCTTGTTTTACCAAAGGATTTTACATATAAAATGACAGCTATCTTCATTTCATAGCCATCGCTGACGCCGTTTTTTTCGATCATACGGTATTTAACAGAAAACATTGTTTTAATTGCTGGTTCTATTTCGAAAGATTATTTAGGGATTGTCCCTGATCCTGTATAAAATTCTTGCCTAGAAAATCATGCATGGTAACATCAGAGATAATTCAGATAATGGACATTTTTGGTTTTATTCTCCTCTACGTCTCTGATAGTATGATCATGATCCTCTGGCCTGGTATGATATGGCCACGGATAAGGGTATGATCTGTGGCTATGATCACATGCATAATAATCTTTGTTTCTCTGCTGCCTCATAGATACATAAACCGTTGATTGAAAGAATTGGAAAGATACGCAAAGTTGATTTTATGTAGTACAATCGAAAAGCCAAACGCCTTTCTTTGTTTAATCATATACCGTATGATCGAATAAAAACGGCGTCAGCGATGGCTATGAAATGAAGATCGTTATCATTTTATATGTAAAATTATATTGGTCATCGATCGTCATTTTCAAGCCAACTGGACTATAATGGTGGAAAATCCGTATTATTAACGTACCGTACCTAAAATCCGTAAGTCTACTGATTAATCAGTAGTTCTGACAATAACTATAAAGAATACAAGGACAAATAGCATCCGAGACTTGCCGGCAACCACTCACTTTGTCGACTGAAAGCAGAACTACGGTACAGTCTTTATCCATGGTACAAAGAAAACAAGGTATGATCGATAGCGGCTCCAATTTCGTTAAGTTTGCGCATACCACCTGTGACGTCATACGCCATACAAAAAAATATCCATATTGTACAATTGCCACTAATAAAAAAAGACCTAAAGTAGGGAAGAATTAGGACATAACACCAAAAGTTATGTCAAATCATCGAGCTTGACATTTGAAAAATTACTTTCACATTTTGACACAATCAAATTTCACAGATGACACAATCTGTTTGACAATTTGAAATTGGCGCGCAGAGCTTGTCGACCAATGGTGCCGTTTATCACCTGTGACGTAGTGACCAACCTGCGCAATATCATACCTTGTATTCTTTGTATCATGGTCTTTATCCGCTGCACTGTAAACGACTATCAGCGCGCAGCGGCGTAAAGCTATACTAAATCTCGGACAGGCTGACAGTAACCATGGCTATATCTCGGACAGGTTTTGTCGCACATCTTATTCTTTCAGTCAACGCATAAACTTCGTATCATGTTGGTATTATCTTCGTATAGAAATCTCAAGTGAGGGTAAACCCACACGGTTATGCCTGTTATATTAATTCGCAAATAAATAGGCTTTCTGTCAATTTTTGGATGTTGACTATCAAAATTGTTCCTAATCTTGCTGGAGAGCTTTTATAAAATTTTAAGAGGTGGTTATTACCAATGTTCTAACCAAAAATTCACAGATCCAAACTATTATCTATTTATTGGAAAATAAATTAAAAAACAGATTTTATAATTTATTTATTTAGAATAAGCTGGATTGCACCACCACCTAGCCTAAAATAGATCAACAAAATTTAAATATCTTACAACAAAAATAGAAACAATGTATTAGATGATATAAATAAATCTTTTTTGCGTTTTTAGATATGTTATTCAGACAAAATACTTATTATACAATAGATTAAAGAGGAGTATTTGTTAATACATTTAAAATTGGAGTCTAATATCTTAAAATTTAGCTTAGAGCAGAAAACTATTACAAATAATATAAATACAAATAAACCTCTAAAAAATACAGAGCTTCTAGTATAAATTATACCATAAAATTTTATATTTCTGTAAATATAAAATCTAAAAAATATGAGCAAAATTATCGGCCTTATAAAAAAATCTATATTAATTCAAGTGTGCTGTAATAAAAGTCTGAAAGTCCAGCCTACAATGGATTATTTTAGACTCATAATACATCAGGATATAAAATAATTAAAAAAAATATATATTAATGTACAAATATTCTAAGAATTTTTTATAGATTCTATACAGTGCTGATCGATTGCTAAGTAGCATTTCCCTGTATATGATGGTCTCATTTGACAGTTGCTTTTGAATGCAAACAATATGTATAAAACCAGTCAAAAGTACCCAGTGAAACTCGCGCTGCGATTTTGTATATACAATCTTAAAAACAATAAAAATTAAAGTTTCTCCAGGGTGTGCCAAAAAGCTCGTAAAATGTTATAAAAATATTACTGAATTATTGAAGATAAGTTCATGCATAATTACTTCAACATATCTAATAACATAAAAACACATCTTGATATATGTCATCTTAATTCAAAAATTACAGAAAAACTTTATTATAGAAAATGGAGTTAGACGACAATATAGATTTGTTAACCTAACCTAACCTAACTAACTCAAAGAGACATGTTCAGAATTTAATTTTACATCTGTGTAAAGCAAGTTTTGTATATTGTATAACTCAAGAAATATTATTTGTATATTTTTCCAAAGAGCTTGAAAATCCTATTTTCCTGGCTAAAATTTTAACAAAAAATCCAAGATGAATTTATAACAATTCAATATTTCCTTACCGCCCGGCCCCCTAAATAATAGTTATAAAATAAAAATATCAGTTTTAAATACCTAGCATGTTGGAATGGTTAAAAGAAAAACTATTAACTTATTTGCCTAATCGATATTTTGTCACCTAACAGAACATTTTACATATGTACAGAGTGGGTCAAATTGGTTGCTTTTAAAGGGAAACACCCTTTTCTATAGGAGATAGACAAAAACTAATATCGGTGTCTGGAGCTCAATTTTTATCAAAAACATTATGGTAAAAACCGCACATCGATATCTGTTACCGTTTCAGAGTTACGGGGTGTTTTTCAAAAATGTGCATTTTTAACAAATCGCTGTAACTTTTTTGCTATGAAGAATTTTGTATTTCTATGAAAACATTTCCAAAGCACTTTTTTACGTAGAATTTAATGGTTTAAGTATAATCTTTTTAAAATTAATAATTTAAGAGTTATCAACAGAAAAATTGACTTTTTATTTGAGACACCCTGTATATTTTTAATTAAATGAAAAAAACCTCAAATTACCTTTCCAAAAATATAGCACACTTGATATTTTGTTATAATCCCCTTCGAAATACAGAATTTTTAAAAGTTTGCCACTTTTAACTAGTAGGCTTTGGATCCCTTATTGATGATCTGCCCCTAATGGAACTAGAAAACATATTTTTCCAGCAAGACGAGGCACCGCCTCAGGACGTTCAAGTTATCGGCAAATTTTTGCAGCCAATTTCGAGAAAATAATTAAATAGCTAACCAAGATCCCAGATGTTGGCCGTCGATGCCGCCGGACTTAGTGCCTATGGATCTAATCCTATGGATATCTTTGCGGAAGAATAAAGGTTCTTATTTTTAAATTGCCCGTATAATCTAGATAAAAATTAGAAGGACTTAGTGGTTATGCGAGGGTATCTGTCACCCCTACTGAGTTAATGAATTCCACGAGAAATATTCAATAACGGCTCCGTCTGTCCATAACATAAAACGGTCGATATGTCGAACACCTATAGCAAAATCTAATGTCTCGGTTTGCTATTTATTTTTATTATTATTACGTATATTTTAACGTATTGATGTTGGTAAGATATAGTTTAAATTGTTATAAAAATCTGCATCTCTCATTGCAAATATTATTTTCATTTTAATTGCTGCTCACTGGCTAGATTTTTTTTGCATTACAGCCAGCGGCGGCGCCGTTCAAAGCCTACTTATTCAAAGCGGGCAAATTTTATTAAACTCTATATCTCAAAGAGGAATCGAGCAAAATATCAAGTGTGCTATATTTTTGGAAAGGTAATTTTAAATTCTTTTGAATGAGTTAAAAATATACAGGGTGTCCCATTTAAAAAATCAAGTTTTTTGTTGATAATTCATAAATTATTAAAGTAAAAAAAATTATACTGAAACCATTAAATTCTACATAAAAAGATGCTTTGGAAATGTTTTCATAAAAATAATAAATTTTCCATAACAAAAAAGTTACATTGATTTGTTAAAAATGTATATTTTATTATCGATGTGCGGTTTTCACCATCAAGTTTTTGACAAAAATTGAGCTCCAGACACCGACATTAGTTTTCGTCTATCTCTTATAGAAAAGGGTGTTTCCCTTAAAAAGCGTCCAATTTGGCCCACCCTGTACAGAAAATTTTTGTAATTTGTTACCAGACACTTGTAACATCACATATATCCAAATGATTTTTGTTTGTTATTGGATATGTTAAAGAAATTCTGTATAAACATTTTTCAATAACTCAATAATAAAAAACTTCCATTTGTTGCAAACTTTTTGACACACCCTGTATATACAATATTAAAAATGGAGAAAAAAAGTTTGTATATAACCAATACAAAATGATATCAATCTTGCACTTAAAAATCTTGACAGACCTTATACCTGGTATATCATCATAAAACGTCAACCAAGAATATTGCTGGATTACAGTTATTGATATGCACTTGTGTAATTTAAATTTTTTATTTTTTTAGATTCTGATATATAACATCTCTACTAATAGTACTAGATAACTCAAGGATATTTTTTACATCCAATTCATCAGATCTACTGAGATAAGACTAATATAAATAAATTAAAAAGGAAGAACTTCACTCCCAAAACTTCTTAATAAATATAGTTTAACTAAAATTTATCAGAAACAATTTTACATCGTTTCTGACAAAATATCAATTATTTGCATTTCCAATATGTACAATGGCAGTCAGGATTAAACCATATGTCTCTAAGAGTCTTCGGCTTTAGTAAAAGAAAGAAAATCTATAAAGTAATGGAATGTATCTTTAAATATAAAATTTATCGAGCGATGGAACTACATTAAGGAATCAGGCGCTTTCCAAATTTGATATTTTCTAAGAATAGAAAGGATCAAGAAACATCTTTGTACCGCTTCTTTAAGTCTGCTTCTTAAAAATCAAACTTAACAATATGATAAGTATTTGTAAAAGCACCTATCTCACTCTCTTCTCAGATATCTTCTATCTAGTAAAAAATAAAAAGATCTCTATCACAATGTGTTAAATTAATGTACAAGTCCCTATCTGTCTTGGTGGGTATTTTTAGCTTGCCATTTAAAATCACTTTCCATTATCCATTGTTGACTTTCTCCATAATTACACGGACGCAACAAAGGAAGATTTACGTCGCTAGTGTCTGGCATTTGGAGACAGCTACCAGTGTTGACATGTTTAATAGTTTTATCCTGAAAAAAAAATGTATAATCGATATTTTTTAATGTTATATCTTAGGCCCCATCTCCACATAACGATTTACCTGTTAGTTAAAAAGGAAGACCGTCTAGATAACCGACGGCAGTTCTCTAGAGTATTGTGATTAATCTTAGCACCGTTTAGATATAACGTTTTACATTTGATTTTGTACAACTAAAAATATTAGATTTTTAAAAGTTCGCTTATTAAAGATACCGTTTTTTAGAGATGGGCAAAACGGCGACTCTCCAATTGCAATTGAAACTGCGATTGCGATTTTTAAATCGCTGCGACTGTAACCTGCGATTGCGATTTTAATATTTAAATATTGTACTAGATATACAGGGTGCCGCACCTCATTCGCCTCGGTTGATTATACGAAAACGGTAAGATGTAGAAACAAAATATTTTATAGGTATATGTGGGGAGGTAATGTGCACAATTTAAAATTATTTTGAAATATACAGAGTGTTTCAGAACTAAGATCCATACCAAAGATATTTTTTCTTAAGGAACACACACCCGGTATTTTATTTCATTTTTGGATTCTTGGGCCCAAAAAAAGTCATTTGTTATAAGGGTTAAATATGGTTAAAATCTTTGGTTTTTGAGATATTTAAAGATATTTAAATTTGCATGCTACAATAGAATAGATTATTAACACCCTGTACATTACTTTTCAGAATTAATTTTTGTGCTGAGTTTAAAGGTAAAGAAATAAACTTTGCTGAAAACTGGCATTGCTTTCTTAAATTTATACAGGGGTATCAAAAATTGCTGATCTATTTTAAGGATTTATTTTATATAAAAACTTCGTTATTTCAAATGCAACACCCTGTATTTTTTTAAATAAACCGAAGCAGATTCAAATGCTCTTTCGAACTATATTAGGGTTTGGTTTGTACCTATACCTATCTAGCTCAGATTTTGAATAAAGAGCATTTTTTAAATAAAATTGCAATCAAGATGGCTGGTGTCGCCATTGCAATTTTCTAATGACAGTTAGTAATTATTTTCAAAGTCGACATTAGTTTATGGACATTATTATTTATAATTTATAACAGTTTACTTAGAATTACCTACAATAGTTTAACAAGTAAATATTCATTATTTTATCAAGAAAAATAAAGCAGTACCTGCTGGTGGAACGAATGTATATGTTTATAGTGATTTTTATGTTGTGAGGAAAATTGCTTCTTGGCCTCAAAAGCTTATGCTCAAAGGTATCCAAGAATAGGAATCTTCCTGATAAGCGTCCCTTTGAAAAACTACTTGTCGTACTATTTCGCAGAGCTGGTAGTGTGGTTTATAAAAAAACCTGTTAGCACAGAATATCTAGCTACTACCAGCGTAGCTAGATATTCTGTGCTGTTAGACAGAAACCTGTCGTTGGAAGTGAAGAAAATGAATTTGCCGTAATTGTCTCTTTTCTCTTTTATAGAAAATCCATATATCTACAAGTCATCGTAAAATAAATCAAAGAACTACTTCTTCGTTTTTCTTGATATAATAATAAATACATATTTAATAAATATTATTTATTAAACTATTGTAGGTAAATTAAATAAAAGCAAACTGGTATAAATTTAAATAAGCTCATAAACTAATTTCGATTTTGAAAATAGCTACTAACTGTCACCAAAGAATATACCTAGCTAGAAAAAGAATGGACTCTGCCATACTGAAAAATGGTCCTACAGAAGTGCCGCCATCTATTGAGTAGGGCTTGTTTTAAATGGATCGAAGCGCGGGCTTTTTAAATGAGCGTATTTATTGAATTTTACTTTGAAAGAATTAAGTTTGATTATTAAATCTTATTTTTTACACAAATTCAACAATACTAATAACAAGTATCGTTGTGATGTGTAAAAAATAAGATGTAACGGTATAATTTATACAATTATTAAATAAAATTAAAGCCAAACATGTGTAAATATTATTTATTATTTAAAGTTTTAATTTATAAGTCAAATATTAAAATCGTTTATTATAATAAAACAAGACCAACGTAATACGCCCAAAGTTTTGTAAATGGAGTAAATAGAAATAGGTAGTTAAATGATGGCAAAAATAAAAGACTTACATTATATTTTTAGGGTCACAAACAAAAGGAATTGTCTAATAAAAACACATATAACAAATTGTAGTTTGAAAAACGTTTTGATAATCATTTTTGATAATATTATGATTGGCATATACGACAATATTTTTTGAGAATTTGACAATAGTATGACAATGGACGTTAGAAACTATGGAAACTACAAAAAAAATATGATTGAACGCCATCTGACAATAACTAGTAGCAACTTCTTAACCTAAAAATTAATTGCACTACCACCTAGCGCCCGAGGCTGGAAATATTTTATTTGAAATTTCCGTGGAAACGGTGGAACCGCTTTTACTATTTCACTTTCCGGCCCCTGACTGTCACTAAAAACTTGTCATGACGACACTAGCCCTCTTGGTTGCCATTTTATTGAAAAATTGCGCTTTATTCAAAATCTGAGCTAGATAGGTATAGGAAACCCTAATATAGTTTGAAAGAACATTTGATCTGCTTCGATTTATTATAAAAAATACAAGGTGTTGTATTTGAAATAACGAAGTTTTTATGTAGAATAAATCCTTAAAATAGCAATTTTTGATACCCCTGTATAAATTTAAGGAAGCAATAACATTTTCCAGTAAAGTTTATTTATCTACCTTTAAATTCAGCACAAGAATTAATTCTGAAAAGTAATGTACAGGATGTTAATAATCTATTCTATAGTAGCATGCAAATTTAAATATCTTTAAATATCTCAAAAACTAATGATGTTAAACATATTTAACCCTTATAATAAATGCCTTTTTTTTGGGCCCAGGAACCCAAAAATGAAATAAAATACCGGGTGTGTTCCATAAGAAAAAATATAAGTTTGGTATGGATCTTAGTTCTGAAACACTCTGTATATTTCAAAATAATTTTAAATTGTGCACATTGCCTCCTCACATATACCCATAAAATATTTTGTTTCTGTATGTTTCCGTTTTCTTATAATCAACCGAGGCGAATGAGGTGCGCCACCCTGTCTGTGTATGTACCTATAGCTTAAAAGTTAAAAAAAGTTAATAAAAATCAGTTGTAGTTTTTTTAAGTTTTTAACATCTGCAACACATAGTATAGTTATTAAAACTTTATAATATGCTGCAACTGCTGCATCTACACATACCAATAGCTACTCTTTCTACGGTTCTCTGTTATCTAATTCTTAAAAGATCTTAAAGAACTATTTTTTTAAGGTGGCTCACCTCCATTACTTTTTTTTCAGACAAAGAAACGAGATTTGATACGTTAGTATCTGACATAAATCAAGATTGATAGACGTATTGAACTGATTTAACTTGAATCCTGTTTCACCTTAAATAACTGCAACTTTTGATTTTTTAATGACACACTCGGTATTTTTATTACTTTATTCAGTAGAAAACGACACTCTGAACAGTATGCCATATGATATATCAACTTTTGACATTTTCACATACAGACCGGACCACCGTAGTAGTAACATAGGCAGAACCGGACGAATTAGCGTATACCCGTCTGCCGGATAAAAAGCAGGCGAAAAATTGCGATAAAATAAAAATAGGTAGATATGTGATAAGAATGTTTCAGAATTTGTATTTATTCGTGTTTTAATAGCCTAAACGAATACATAGATTCTCGTGACAGTTCTCGTGTAAAATTTATTTTTTAAGTAAAATAATGGATGTTTACGAAGTTCGTGAGAAATTCAAATTGTAAAATGGTATTTCCAAAATAGGTCTTATCGGAATATACAAACAATTTTTCCACAAACTTTTGTAAACAGGCCAATTCCATCTTTACCTACTGTATCAAGAGTTATTAATAATTTTGAAACACATGAGTGCGAGTTCCCACCAAAAACACAAAAAGCCTGATGTGTTGATTAATGAAGAACAGGAGTTAAAGCAAGTGTTCATTTGTGCTACCGCGGATCAAAATCCCACGTTTTCAAGTAATCAAATTGCTGAGGTGGTTGTCCTGCTCACAATGCCCGTATTGTTCAAGAATATTTGAACAATACTTTTCCCAACCGTTTAATTAGTAGATATGGAACTATTTTGTGGCCCGCTAGATCACCAGATCTTTCTCCCAATGACTTATTTTTGTGGGGTTATGTAAAATCCAAAGTGTATGGTCATAATAGGGCTAATAACCTGGATGAGCTTCAAGTAAAAATACGAGAGGCTTTCCAAACTATTAGCCCTAATATGTTAGCCAATGTCAGACGGTGATTTTACGACCGCCTAGGCTTCTGTCTAGCACAAGAAGATGGTCTTTTTGAACACTTGTTATAACTTTTTCTTATTTAGAGTAATATTTTAGTTTTTTTTGGGGGGTTTAGAGAATTTATTTATTTTTAGTTTTGACTTGTAAAAACACGCAAATAATAAATATTTAAGTATTTTCATTTTAAATGTTACCTTAAGTGAAGGTAAACACTTAAAATGAAAATAATAAATACTCGGCACTCCTCGCGTCGCGTCGTATTCCTAGTCTGTCACGACCGACCCGTCCAAGCAGAACTGCAACTGCGTACTGCCTGACCAACCGATATCCGGCAATCTCGAGTACGAAACTTCAAACGTAAATTCGTCTGGCAACTTGCTATGTTACTAGTAGCCTGGTCTTCTCTGTATATGGTTTAACTGGAAATTGTAACATGCGGTTCATAACGACAATTTGACTCGAAATACCACGTGTGTGGTACCAAATTATTCCTAAAAAAATGTTTTTTCTCGATATGCTAATGAGCCACCCTCGTTCTATTTGAAAAAAATTAGATATGATTAAACATTCAATTTGGCCATCTTTTAATTGGCCAGGACAACACACGAAAAACAAAAGACAATTATTTTTTTTCCAAGGATCCTTGATTAAAAATTAGTATTTTTAACACAGCCATGGTAGCCTAGATCAGGGTTGGAA